AGTCAAAGAAAAGCCTCAAACGACTCAGAATGATATAAACGACCTATGTCCGCACTCACGCGTTATCTTAGTCTTCGTACCGACCGTAAGAGATCGCGCACTCCACGTAGAAGCATTTCTCGTAAGCGATCTGTCTCTAGAACACGAGAGACAGATAACCCCGACTGGTGCTGGTATCATAACCAGTATGGAAAGTTTTCCAGAAATTGCAGAAAACCCTGCAATTTTCCCAACACGAAACCGACTGATTCGTAAAACAATTCGGGAAACTTCCAAGCCGGCACGCGTTAACGGCAACCGTAGCCGGCGAACAAAGCCGTCTGTTATTCGTCACAGATGTGACAACGAGAGTTCGCTACCTCGTCGACACTGGCTCAGAAGTTAGCGTTCTCCCAGCAAATCCTAACGACCGGCTTCACGAATCGACCCTAAACTTACAGGCGGCAAACGGAAAACCGATCGCTACGTATGGCAAAAGGTACGTTTACCTTAACGTGGGTTTACGCGAACCCATTCACTGGATTTTCGTTGTTGCAGATGTTTCTATACCAATCATTGGTATGGACCTTCTACAACACCACAATCTGATCATCGACACTCGCAAACGGAGGCTAGTAGACGGAAACACTAATTTATCCGTTTGCGTAACTTCTTTCACTGGTTGCAGATTATTCCCAGTCACAATTAGACATACGATAGACCCATTTTATCAACCGCTACTCGATAAGTATCCTGGGATTCAGCAAACGCAACCGAAACTACCGTGTGTAACCAGCAATGTTACACATCACATCACGACTACAGGCTCACCTGTATTTTCTAAAGCACGACGACTAGCTCCCGAAAAGCTAAGGTTAGCGAAAAACGAGTTCGACCATATGATAGACTTAGGAATCATACGACCGTCAAATAGTCCATATGCATCTCCGTTGCACATGGTCCCTAAAAAGGACAGTAAGGATTAGCGTCCAACTGGTGTCTATCGGCGATCGAATGCGAAAACCATTCTGATCATTACCCGTTGCCTCGCATTCACGATTTGACAGCTACCTTGAAAGGTATAACTGTCTTTTCGAAAATCGACTTGGTTAAAGCGTATAACCAAATCCCTATGGCTACTGACGACATACCGAAAACAGCTATCATAACTCCCTTCGGACTCTATGAATTTTCGCGAATGCCTTTCGGTCTAAGGAATGCTGCTCAAACATTCCAAAGATTCATAGACGACGTTTTCCGAGGTCTCAACTTCGTACATGCGTATGTTGACGACTGTCTAATCGCAAGTCCGGACAGAGAAACACATCTCAAGCATCTGGATCTTGTTTTCGAACGACTACAAAAACATGGCATAACTTTAAACGTTCAGAAATGCCAATTCGGAACCGACTCGTTAGACTTTCTAGGACACACTATCGATGCTCAAGGCATTCGACCTCTTAGGACCAAAGTGGCGGCCATTCTGGATTACCCAGAACCGACCACCGTCAAGCAATTACGCAAGTTTAACGGCCTCGTAAGTTTCTATAGACGTTTCATACCGAAATGCGCATTACTCATGAAACCTCTGGCCGACCAACTTCGTGGAAATGCGAAATCCATTAATTTAGACGACACCGCACGAAAAGCATTCTCCACAGTTAAGGAACTGATCGCTAAAGCAACAATGCTTGCACATCAGGACACCCGAGCACCCATTAGCATCGCAGTAGACGCATCCGACTCGGCAATCGGAGGAGTCTTACAACAATGGGTTAACAACTCCTGGCAACCCTTGGCATTTTTCTCTAGAAGGTTGCTAGACACCGAATCGAGGTACAGCACATTCGGTAGGGAACTCCTAGCTATTTATTGTGCTGTACGGCATTTCCAACACTACATCGAAGGTCGTGAATTCACTCTTTTCACGGACCATAAACCGCTCACTTTCTCGTTAAGCTCTACTTCAGACAAGTACTCTCCCCGTGAGTCTCGACAACTGGACTACATTTCCCAGTTTACTTCAGACATTCAACACATCTCTGGAGCAAACAATGTAGTTGCAGACGCTTTATCTCGCATAACTTCCTTGAACAGTTTCCAAGGAATCGACCTTCTTAAACTTGCCGAGCTTCAAAAAGAAGACAGTGATCTTCAACACGAGTTATCGTCCACAACACTTAAACTACGCATCGAAGAGATGGGAACAGGTAAGGAAACCTTACTTTGTGACACATCTACAGGTAGGGATCGCCCAATCGTGCCGAAACATTATCGACGCAATGTCTTCAACACATTGCACAAACTTTCGCATCCAGGTGTTCGTGCAACCATCAAGCTTATAGCAGAAAGGTTTTGCTGGCCTGGAATGAATAGACGTGAGGGAGTGGGCACGCTCCTGTGTAGGCTGCCAAAAATCTGAGGTTATCAGACACAATAAATGTCCCTTAGGCTCGTTTAAAACTCCCGATGCTCGTTTCGACCATGTTCACCTGGATTTGTTAGGACCTTTACCAGATTCAAATGGATACTCTTATCTCTTAACCTGCGTAGACCGTTTCACTCGATGGCCAGAAGCAGTACCTATCAAGGACATCACTGCTGAAACAGTGTCGCACCTTCGTCGATCGATGGGTAGCAAACTTCGGTTGCCCTTCAACCATCACCACAGACCGCGGACGTCAGTTTGAATCTGAACTTTTCCGTCGTCTGACCACACTTTTAGGAATCACTCGCTTCCGAACGACCGCCTACCATCCACAAGCAAACGGGTTGGTAGAACGTTTTCACCGACAACTAAAAGCTTCACTATCAGCTGCAAACGTTTCACAGTGGACCGATGCTCTTCCACTCGTCTTACTAGGTATCCGCAATGCAGTGAAGGCTGACATTGGATACACTGCGTCTCAACTCGTTTATGGAACGACACTTCGACTTCCAGGAGAATTCGTGGGTCCCTCATCCTCTTCAATGAACATGGATCTAAGCTCCTACACGAACAGGCTTACAAACGCAATGCGTTCAGTTAAACCTGCTTCCACTCGACAACAATCAACCGATGTTTTCGTTCAACCTGACTTACGATATAGTACACACGTTTTCGTTCGTCGAGACTCGCATCGACGACCATTCGAATCAGCATACGAAGGACCTTCAGAGTTCTTCAACGTGAATCTAAGTACTATATAGTCGATAAGAACGGAACCAACGATAGCATCAGCATCGATCGCTTAAAAGCAGCGTATTTAGAAGGAAATCCTATCTACGTGGATTTTCCTTCGGTACAATCGAACGATACGACTCCGACACTTATAATACCTCATCCGACAACCAACACACACGATGATACTTCGACAGTATCCGAAAATAAACTTAAAACGACGCGTTCTGGAAGAAGGGTGAGATTTCCAGAACATTTAAACGACTGTTGCGCGTGAGGCACTTCTCGACATTTTATATTATTTTTTTTAAAAAAAAACAATTTTAATATGCTTATATATTTTTATTTCTATTTTAAAAAAAAACAAACAAAAAAAAACAATTTTTTAACGCTATTACGTGTTTATGAGTTTTTTTCCATTTTTTTCCCGCCGACATTGTGTTTTTACGCACATACGAGTGTATTTCGACATGTACTTACACTTTCATTTTTCTTTTCCAGGACGACTGGAAAAGAACGATGCACTTTACGAGGAGTCGAAATTTTCGTTGTTACTCTTTCTTTTTTTACTATGTTGTACCTCGGTCCCATATAGTAAGGAAAGACGACCAGACGCTGCTACACTTAGTAAGCTATCAGAAGAGTGTTTACCAACGACAAACTCGTTGGGTTTAAACTTCTGGCTGGCCACGTCTTAGGGTCGTCACTGCCCCACTAGGGGGGAAGTGATCTGTAGCGGTAAATAAATCCCCAAAATAAATAGCATTAAGTTTTCGACATTGGATGCTGACCATATGTTTTAGTGGACTCATCTAGCTGAAGGCGCTCGGTCATGCATCCGCACCAGATCACGTGTGGTAACGCCGTGCTCAACATCAACCGCAATCACTAGCCAGATTAGATCAGAGAATTCCGATATATTGGTCGTCGCCAAATATACTCTTCCGATCTCCTCGACTCTGTCTTTTGATTTCTCTGGGTGGGAACGAAATATATTAGGTGTTACTGGTAAAAGCGTTGTCAAACACTGAATACCTGTGACATCATCACAGTCATTAAGTACAAAGGAATCATTAGTCCATACAAACACCACATTTCTGATTATTCACTTTACAAAGAGACCTATTTTCAGTAGCTTATTTTGGTGCTGTAAAATTCTCAATGAAATAAGAGTAATAAGTTGTAATTCAGAAAGTGCAAGGTCTACACTCAATACTTCTGATCCAGAAACTAAGGAATATTTTCTTTAGAAAACCTCTGTATTACTCGCCAACGATAAAACCTAACAAGTCTACTTCTTCTGAGTGAAGTCTTGTATATAATAACGTCCTAGACAAATGATAGTTTTTCAAAAGCTTTCATCACAAATATGAAATACAGAATTTTAGGTGGGTTTATTGCTCAATTACTTCATGTTCTCGAACCATCAACCTTTGTGGTACAGAAAGATAGGAGGGCTTAAATCGCTCTGCATAACATCGCACGCAATGTTTACCATAGCAACGGATCATCAGTATATTGCAATGCTCCAACACACCTGAGCATTTATCAATGTAGAGCAGAACCCGGATGGGGTGTGTAAGAATATATAAGAAACTTCTTACATTGAAGCATAAAAGTTGTGAATCCTTCGAAAGAAGATCCGACGCTTTCTTTAGTCCGGTAGTTACTAAGGGAGATTATACTCTGTGTTACACCTTGACCACTGTTCCTTTCTGAACTCTGTAATAGTCACTGAAGTTCAGAGAAAAGTAGATAAAAAAATATAACTTTTAGTAACCGAGAAAGCTCTCCCGCTATGCAGAAATAAATTCTAAGGAATACTCGTGCTATAATAGTTTGGTTATTTTAACCTTGAAATATCGGCATTATGGAGCCTAAAACAACCACATCAAGGTCGGCGCTAGCTACTAAACCTCACGTCATGGCTGCAACGAGGGATGGGATGTCAAAACCAGGTACTATTGAGGTATGCTATATATGGATTTCCGAAATCCAGGGGATGATATTGATCGGTTGGCTTTACGAATAAGTCTTGCTGACATTGATGAACAGTTTGAAAAAATCCTTCAAAAATCTTTGGTTTTTATCCTGAAGTATTTATCAAAGTATGAAGATCATCGGAAAAAAGTGATAGAAATAATTTACGTTTACTTTTCTTAGCTCATGGAACTTCTCGGAGATGTGACTCGGAGACTCAGATGCAGACCTAATATTCAGGTTCCTGTGCACGAATTATTGCTAAGTTACAATGATCCGTCAAACTCTGTGTTTTTGGTTAATTTCTCGCATATGTACATAAGACTAGGATTTCCGCGTCTACCTCTACGACAGAAAATAAAACTCTTTCCAGTATTATTCGCATCACTTTCTGATGATAAACCTATTTGTCAAAGAGACGGGTATGTTAACGTCAATAAATTTTAGATTCCGCTAGTTTACTTCATTTAGTACTACCTGTTGTCGATAGTCTCACCAATGAATTGGCTCCGCGTGACCCATGTTTCAATGAACTCATATACCAAAGACGTTACATTACAGACTTTTTCTCCTTAGTGATGCTTCTACCTTATAAGTTTGTTTACGAATTTATTCTAACCGGTTTTAAAGTTTTCAGAAATTAGTCAGATCAGATAGAAGTGATCCAACTATACCAGACGGGTACAACTCCTTCGATTTGGGTAGGATGTTACACGAACGATTTACCTGCATAACATCCGCTGAGGAACTGGAAAAGGTATGACCTTTACTGTAAACTCTCAAATTTCACACATACAGACTAAAACTAACGTATGTATTTTCAGTCTCTTTTCACCACATTGAAACTTCCAGTTCACTAGTTTATCTACACATTGTCAATATTTATCCATACTTGAGATTTTGGCGATCTGTGTGCGTCGCTGACCTGACACATAGGTTGGAAATGTATACATAAATCGGCCACTTTTGATTTTGTTCAAGAACACATTTAACTGATAGGTATTTGGGTTTAATGGTTATCCGTCTCAACGCTATGTAGTTTTGTCGCTGAACAACGAGTAGCTTATCAGAAGGTATTTAAATCACTTAATATATTGGAATACAGTTGTCATATTTGAGGCTAATCATAATATTACTGACGTCAAGTTTGTAAAAGTTGTCTAGTGAAAGACACCAGTTTTTAATATGGAAGTAGTTAGTGACTATTTAAATACCCCACTGGTACTCAGGTATACCAAAATAAACAATCCCAGGGATTTTCGGTAGATAAATAACCATAATTAAGACACTCTGTATCCGAATGGATAGATAGGATTTTACTCGAAAAGTTTGTTAACAAGGAATAAATGAAATCGAGGCGTTTTCCAACGAGTTTATCAGGTTAGTCAGAACGGGACATTTATCTATCTATCAACCGTATCAAATGTGACCATTAATACCAACGTTACATGATCTTGACCAGGTTCGCAGTTTTAGGAGGACTAAAACAGCATTTTTTGTCTACGCACTATTGTACATATCAGCTTTAAACCAAATAACCGTCAAAACAGATCAGGTTGGTGTTACACTAAATCCTCTTGCGATATTTCGATCAAGGAACTGATTGGATTGTGTTCTAATATCTTGAAATGAGGCGATCGTCTCCAATATTTTTAAAAAGAGCCTAGGTCACATGTGTAATAACTCAAGGGATAAGTATATTTTCCATTGCTTTTAACATATTGGTTTTTCCCATATTTCATAGGTTAATCAAAAGCTATGAATTTACTCATGAGGGGCTTAGTGGTCCTCGTTTCGGTCGTGGATGCGTTGATCGCATTTTTAGCCCCTATCTAACATTAGAACACTGCCACAAATTTCAGGCCAACAATCGTGTTCCTCGACATTAGTGCCCCTTTCGCTCATTGGGTAGAACTGTCATCTTGGATTGTCTGTTAAAGAACGTTATGCCTAATTAGTTAATTAACGTCTTGAATGCTCCGTACATAAACTCCGAGCAGAGTGACGGTGTACAACCCCCTTATCTCAATGGTTCATTCGAGCAGTAGGGTTTAAAAGGGTTGCCTAATCTCATCATTCATGTTTAATTTTGTAATGGATAACATCCTGGGAACAGCTCCGGAGAAATTAAGTGGTGATGCTTTAGTCCTGGTGCCTAGAGGAAAACTCATGAATGTGTCTATGATATTATCTTAATTCCATTATGCTTATGCTGTGCAAACTATTTAATTAGTGTCCACAGTCATGGTATGTGCACTAATGCAAGGGCTACAGGAACCTGTGACCACTCGAAATAATCGAAAATTTCGAGCATTTAGATGTGTAGGCGCTAGTGTTATGAGTGGTGATAAAAAATCTACGTACGATGATAGCCAGGGTGGCTTACGTCATTCTGGATCATTTTTGGAATAATCGTAATGCTAGTTTAGTTTTAAGAGGTCGGGTTTACAAAGCGTTGATAGAAGTAGTTTTACTCTATGTCTGAGAAACTTGGTCTTTCCGAGTTTGAGATGCTAGATGACTCTTTCTGTGTTCGAAAGTAGTTGTCTCCAAAGGATTGTTGACATTCAGTGGCAATATCGTATTAGTAATATTGAGGTTTTGTAATGTGTTTTCGGATGGTGAGAATAGTTCAGCCGGTGTCACCATCCTAAAACATCAACTTCGGCAGCTTGAACATGTTTTATTTAAGCCATCCCGTATGCTTCCACATCGTGCATTATTTGACGACGTTGTGACTGGTTGGAACAATATGAGAGGCGGTCAATTTACCACATAGTGCTATGGTATGAAAAGAGTTGTATAGAACTGGCTTATCACAACTCGCTATTTGGGTTTCAAAAGATGGGCCAGCTCTGTGGCTTAAGACGTTATCAGATATGGGTCATGACAGGAATCGGTGGCGATCCTATGGTAATTCTTTATAAATATGAGAACCTAAACTAAAAGGATTCTGAATTATCTTGTTTATATTACCAACAAAATATCTATTGTACATTGTCCTAGTTAATTATTTCATTTATTTGTGTTTTCTTCACTCTCTTCAAATGTATATTCTTTTTCTTATCATGTTATCAATGCTTTAACTATGTTTCTTGGTTCCACATTGTACTGGATTTTACGTGCGCAAATAAATAACCTGGGAATCGTGCACTTCAGAATGTTACCTTCTCGAACTTATTGACTTAATATTTAGTGTAAGGTTTAGATTATCTCGCTGGATATTAAAAAGCTGAATAATTAATTTAATACGTTTCCAGAAGGTTGTGTTTATTGCCATGAGAATGCTCCGATATTTTCCGCCTGCCTCAATCTCATCAGCTAATCGTTTATGCTAATTTCAACAAAGTCGTTAAAATCCCAGATAAAAGTCATCAGTTTGGCGTTGGCTGCTAAACTTCGACTCGATAAAAGTACATAGACCACGATGATTAATATAATTCTAAGTGAATTAAATGCCTGATTATGTCAAATTAGTGATTGGTAAACTTTTAAAAACGCAAATCTTCTGCTCCGGTTTAGGTAAATTCAGTGTTCTGATTTTCTTGGCACTGGATCAGATAAGGCTAATCAAACAGACATGACTCAGAATCATTCGCAATGGTATAGGTCCATTCACTACCACTAATACTGTAACTGAATCAACCACTCTGGAATTTGTCCTGAGAGTTTCAACTTTCCGCTGTAATAATGTGTGGCAACTTAAACCGATGTACATATGTATTTGGTTCTACGTTGCGTATGACTGACTGACTGAATAAAACTTACTTGTACCTCTGATGATACATTTGATATTCAACTTAGTTAACACTAGATGCTTTGTGTATAACGATCTCCTTTTACATTTTGAATCACAGCAGCAATATTTATAAGCAATATAACAGAAACCTGGAAGTAAAATGACAAGCGGTTGCACGAGAAAAGCGGAAAAGACACATGATAAACATTTCTTAGTACCAAGTAACAAGATGGTCAATTTTTTATAACCCTTGACACAACTTGAACAAACTCGCTAAGCAATAAATCTCTCTAAATTAAGTTTTCCCTTTAGATACATAAACACTAGCAGGGATTTTATGATAGCTTTTTGGTAAATATTCTACTTTACGCTCCTTTGTTATGTAGATCCCCGGCATGTTAATATAAATGTTTCTTCAAATTTCTAGTACAAAGTGGGAATCATGACATTTTACACACGCCGCTTTTTCCCCGCGGAAGAAAGTATAATACCAGTTCTTTTTGGTTATGGAGACAGTCGCCATTCAGTAGTCTCTATTGCAGCAAAGGAACTTCGGACACTAAGCATGTAAGTGATTTTGGTGTTACTACTTCACAATCCTAGCTTTTTGCCTCTAAAGAAATCAGTAACGTAATTTAATATAGAAAAGGCAAATTTAGTGCTGCTTATTTATTAATTATTATACGTATAATCATCCTTGTGATATTCACAACTCATTTTTTGTTGTGATCTCGCCATTCTAAGTTTCATAGCGACAAATATATGCGCGGATTTGTTTTATATTTATTTTAAGACCAAAGACTAGGCACTAAAAGACTGCCACAGGGTTAGATGACATATGTGTGCAAAAAATGTGACTGGATGTCATATAGCACAAGTGAAAATGTGATCTAGTTCAAATGAGTCCCGTGTGTATATGCTAAACTTCTTTTGAGTACGAGGATAATGAGATTACCTTTTTGACTAGAGACGAGATGTCAGGTTTGAATTTAGTTTGTACATATGAACAAAAATGTTCACGTAGAAATTTGTTAATTATCACAATCGCTGCTGCTACTATGACGTGATGGTTGGGTTTACCTATCATGGAGAACAAATCAGGCTACACTGGCTGAAACAATCATTCCTCAAGGTCCTACCTTGCCATGCAGGTCGGTTGAAGAGTGGTAAGACTAAAAAGCACGGTCCGAGGGTGGAGTCGTACTGCTGACTGCACAGAGGTGTGATAGCAGTAAGGTGTTCCCCCCAGACAACCAGCATAGGAAGGACGGGTTTTAAAAAGGTCGACCCTAAAGATACACACTGCGTTATCTCATAGATATCCGTCTGCGGCGGTAGGGTTTCAACAAGTATGGAGCCAACACAAAAATTACGCACAAGGTCGTGTGTTACCAGAGTCAAGCAGTTATCCCTTAGGCACTGCGGTTAGGCTCTTAGGTCACTAAGACCAACTATAACCCAATTTCCTCTTCAGGTAAGACGCGTCAACAACTTCACTTATCTTGGAAATCAGATCAGCCCAAATGTGTTGGTGTTTGAGAAAATCTCTGCACGGATTCTAAACGTTCGTTTGGCTTTTGCCAACTTACGTAACCAATGGTGAGGGCGAGATATCTGTCTATCAATAAAAGGACGAGTGTACTGCGCAGAAGTTCGTTTTGTTTTGATTTACGTCTGCGAAACATGGTCATTAGGAGTAGAGGATACTCGTAAGTTACTATTATTTGATCACAGATGTCTTAGGAATATTGCCAGCATCTTCTGGGATTACCTGGTAAGTAGTAGTGAGGTAAGACGCAGGGTATTAGGAAATGATGGCAAATCAATTAATGAGGTTGTAAATCTTTATCGACTGAGATGGTTGGGTCACGTGTTGCGTATGCCTGAACGCCGATTACCAAGACGCGCAATGCTGACTAGTGTTGGAGATAGTTGGAAGAAAGTTAGGGGCGACCAAACCAAAACGTGGCATCAGTGCTTGAAGTCACGGACTTCTAGTCTGAGCCATGTTGGTAGATGCGGATTACTTGGTTGGAGTCCGCGTGACTATCGTAACCAATGGTTGGAGATTCTTGGTGACATGACTCAGAATCGATCACAGTGGTATAGGTGTATACACTCTTTGTCTTCCCTTAAACTTTGAGATTAAATTTGCTTCATATCTTTTATATATTGATATCATTGAAGTAACTACTTCTATGAATTTGTTGTTGATCTTGTTGTGCTAATGAGGTATGGCAACTTGGACCGATGCATATATTTGCCTGGTCCTATGTTGTAACTCATTGACCATACAACTTCATGTATGTCTGATTAGACGGTATCCACGAAAATTCATCGGTAACTACAGATGACACTTGTTTACACCAGATCTTGTATTGATTATGACTGGCGGGAACAATTTCGGCGTAGTTTCTAGTCAAAACTGATGTACCGCAACTCCAACTTCAATACGATGAACGAGACTGTGACATCCTCGACTTACCTTTCCTCGGCTAACCAGAGTGAGAGGTTCACTTGTTGTATAGAAGCATTTCTTATTAAGACCAAGAATTCAGAATACATTTAAGATAATAAGTCTTATATTGGTTATAGTGATCGTAGTTGGGGAACACAAAAACTCTCAGTTAACACAAAACATGATAAAAAATGCATTGAAACTCTATGAACAGAATTTACATTGAGTAAATTTTCGTAACGACCATTCATTTTCAATGAATGCCGATTTTATTCACCCTGAATTCCACATTCCAATCATAATCACTAACTTTCTTATTGCTTTCGTCAGTAGAAAACCGGTAAATTTGTAAATCTTAAACATAAATTCATTAATCCAACAACCTAAATTTTCGAATTTTCATGGTTTTTATTACTACTATTTGTATTTTGAATTAGTCTTGTAGATTGGGAGGATGAATCATTGTTAAATCGACTTCTGGCTTGGTATCTTGGTCGTCGTCGAGATTTCGATCCCAAAGTAAGTTGTTCATTAAAATAGAATAAAACAGCTCTCTTTATATATACAGTTTTATACATAAACTGTTGTAAGGAAAACGCTGTAAAATTAGTTACATCAAATAAGATGTCATCACAGCATATAAGTCTCGTGATTTCATTCGGAGATGCAGTTCGTGGGATATCGACAGTATAATTACGGAGAAGGAATATATTAATAGCTTATAATTATCAGTTATAAAGCATACGACATAGTTTCTTCTCGTCAGAACCCAGTATATCAGAAAGTGTAAACTAGGGTACTATTTTGAGAAACAAATTAAACACTCTTTCGAGTTGTGATAAGCGAATTAGAATTTTATTGTCATTATAAGAGTGACGCTTTCACAGTTCAAACCAACTATGATGAATGTGATATGTTCGTGCGTTATAATAATGTTTTGCAATACTGATTGTCGTACAATGAACGCAACTGCTTCTATTCTCTTTTTAATTATTCCGTTAGCTAAAGTAAAGAGACTAGTTCAATAGTTGGGGCTTTTTGACGATGACCCCAGTATATTAATCAAAAATACATTTAAGTTAATCAATTATATATCGACCATAATTATTAGAATTTGTAAACTGAGAATTTATTACTGATTGGAAATAGTAGTAAAAATGTACTGAAAGTTTATGAGCTGAGTTCACACTGAATAGCATAAACTAATGGAAATCGACTTTAATAGACGCCAAATTCTTTACTCATAAGTTGTATTTAAGGGTTGAACACATTAAACAGAATCTCACAATTTATGAGAAACGTTCACCAAAATTCCCCAACCAGTCACTTCAAAAAGGAAGAAAACCGTGGTATAGAACTAAATAGTCAGCTAGAAAGCCTTTATAAATTATGACCACACAATAACACGAGTTGATTGTCGATTCCTACTTCTAGGCTCGGTGGAACTGTGCTTCATGTGGTAGAAAGTTATGCATCGAGAAATAACGTCAACCAAATACTTCTTAACAATGAATTGTTCTCAAGTCAGTCAGTCAGTCAGCTACAACATAGGACCAGACACATATGTGCATCGGTCCAAGTAACAGCGTTCTGATGTTAAAATATTTCCTAAATAACTCATATATGTATGTTATTTTGTATACGACTCACATGATTAACAAATTCAACGAAAGATGGTAGTTTAACGCGCCCATAGACGATGTCATGAATAATATTAGGGTCAAGAAACTGTTCGAAAGCCACGCATGCTTCAGCTCTTACGCGAGGATCCCTGAAATAAAAATAAGGAGTTTCTTTAGGAATAGTAAAGGAATTTATATTCACCCATATAAGTGTTTGAAAACAATCTATTCGAGCAGAGATTTTAAGTATTCTATTGAAGAAATGTACTGTTAATATAAAGATCGAAAACATATTTTAAGGATAAGGACACAAGATACTTTTTAAATACTAATGAAAAACTGCTATACATAGATCTATCCTCTGTGAAAAAGTCCTTTTTTCTTGAGTCAGAGAACTAACCAAAAAATTTAAAGCCTATTTAAATCAGATAGTAAGCAACCAAAGTGGAACTCAACGTTTCAGGACATTGGTCATAGAAGTAAACTATCTACTTTATAATTATTTACATCCTGATCTCTAGACGGAACAACTTTATTGAATAATACATAACTTTGTTGAAACAATAAGCAAGAACCATTTAATCACTTTCTATCTTATGATTTTATTTTAGTTAAAATTGTATATGCAGTGATATCTTTCTTAAAAAGTTCTCTGCAGTCAAAGGTCAGGATTGTATTTTGCTATTCCATGGCTCAGTGAGATAAGGTTATGGTGACAGAAATCATGGATGATTATTGCAAATTCTTTTCGATTGTCGAACTATAGTCTATTCTGCCATATAAAGGCTGCTAAAGTTTATCAGATATAGTGCTCGAGATAATTCCTCGCTTAACAGGCAAAAGTCCAATTAAGCCTGGCTCAAAGGAGGCCTTGTGGTGATACTAAAAAGGCCCACAATACAAGTTGCGGAAAAAGAACAGCTTAATGAAGAGGAAGACGACTAACGAAAATGTTAATTTAAAACAACCTACAAACTTAATGCCCTTAAATTAAAAAAAGGTTATATAAAATCAAACAGCTGAATAAAACTGGACGGATATAATCAAATGAACCATAAAAATTCAAAAAAAGCAACGTACTTGTCGCCCAATGCCTGCAGTATAAGATACCTCGTAGGGATGTGATCAGATGGATATATTAGACCGGCAAAGTTGACAGCAACTAAACGACTCAGGGGGTCGGGCTAAAAGAGAGTAACCAATTATTTTGTTCCAAATTAACTCTATATTAGTTATAGGAAATAGAAAACTAGCGGTCAAATAGAAAATAATGTGATTTAACCTCATATAAAATGGATATCGAAGTGATGGTAAATCAGTTGATAGAATTGTGAATTTTTATCGACTGAGATGATTGGGTCACGTGTTGCGTATGCCTGAACGCCGATTACCAAGACGCGCAATGCTGACTAGTGTTGGAGATAGTTGGAAGAAAGTTAGGGGCGACCAAACCAAAACGTGGCATCAGTGCTTGAAGTCACGGACTTCTAGTCTGAGCCATGTTGGTAGATGCAGATTACTTGGTTGGAGTCCGCGTGACTATCGTAACCAATGGTTGGAGATTCTTGGTGACATGACTCAGAATCGATCACAGTGGTATAGGTGTATACACTCTTTGTCTTCCCTTAAACTTTGAGATTAAAATTGCTTCATATTTTTCTTGCTGTAATATATCCTCATAAACAATCTTTCTTTTATATATTGATATCATTGAAGTAACTACTTCTATGAATTTGTTGTTGATCTTGTTGTGCTAATGAGATATGGCAACTTGGACCGATGCATATATTTGCCTGGTCCTACGTTGTAACTCACTGACTGACTCATATCCCATCAATGCTCATCTTCGTGGAGTTAAACCATACCAGTTTTACTCAAGTTTAACAATTTTTGACTGTAGTTAGTGTGTGATCTTCTGCTAGAAAACCTTGTATTTCAAACAATTTTAGAATGATTCTTTCTTCTTCGATTTTATTTAGAGACTTGGCGCATACCATGATCTTTTCGTGAACCAATTATTTTCGTTTTGTTTTATGTTTTAAATCTCTTTGTTAGTAACTTAACATGTCTCTGTTCATTCTAATTTTAGGGACGCAATGAGCCTCGTCGTCCTCTTAGCCCCAATATGCGCATCAAACTTGGTCATTATCTTATGCGTTCGCGTATAACATTTCCAGGCCCTTTAGCTTCTAGCTTAGTGGAAGCTGCTATGCTAGCTCTTGATCCGAGTTCATTAGCACAGTCAAATTTTCTTTCAAACTCGGGACAAAAGTGTACGGCTAACTGCATTCATGGTACGATTGAGAATGGTTCTACTTCAGATAATGATTCTGCAACTTACGTACAAACGACTAGCAAGGCCCAAACAGAAGAAACAATACCCGCCAGTACACCTGGAAATCCTACTTGTTCTTCAACTTCAGTTATTCAACAGAGGCGCTTAGCTGAGCATGGGCTAGATTTACTTTCTCATCTCATCAATAAGTAAGCTTAACCTTTAGCTCCTCATATTTGTGGTGTTTGATTTTTTCCGTGACTTATTTTCTAGTCTTTCAAAGTATCTGTTCTATTTCGAGATAGTTTACAATTATGCTAAGTTGAGAACAGCAGGAAGATATCTCGTTATTTGAAGAGCAGGCCCGTATGCCAGAGGTCTCGACAGTTGAATTTTGAAGCTCTTTAATAATAATAACAATTCCTCAGACTATTGATACAACTCCTTATGCAGAAAAAACCATTAACGTAGGACGTAGCAGAAATAACAAACTAAAATTTAGCGTAATCAGTCAAATCATAGCAAATGTCAGCGGGGTAATATCAATTTTAAAAATAAGCTATCGAGGGCTTCCTTGCTCGTTGGAGCACTAATTTATCGGAACGAGTAACAAACCTAGAAAGCTTTTGGCTTTTCTTTCGGTATCAAAACTAAAAGTGAATCCCATTATAATTTCTAAAAAGTTACCTTGAAGTTTAGCAAAACCCTCCATTTATTGATAGCATTTATATATGTAGAAGTAAAAAAGTGTTAAATAATTTTAACTTGACAACCACCACGGTAAAAATCCATCTTGACCGATGCGGAACAAGTGGCAATCAAACCACTCCATGTAGTAACTGACTATTGGACTGAGCTTCAATTTTCACCGCTACTTTTGATGTTTTTAAAAAAATCCTTTATCTTTCCCTTTACTTTATTGGTATAGAATATTACTTGAGCTAGTGCACACTAACGTGAAGTTATGGGTTACCGCCTATCTATTATTAATTTGGCTTTACTCGACCATTCGATAACTTCTCTGAGTATAATCAGACGTCAAATAACCTACCTGAATTCCCGTTTTTTAAGCCTATGGTTATATTTTGTGAGACCTAACCAGTAGGTTTAATTTTCCACACTTGCACTTTTTTCTTTAGAGATATTAGTCATTATAATCTTTAACGCATTACGAACCACATAATTTGATTCTCCCAGGAGACTCATGCTCTAGTGTGAGCTCGTATTTGTCTGCGTCTTACTGGACGTAGAAAAGACGCTGCATCGAAACCTCTTAGGGCCCTACTTAATGAGAGTCAATCTAAGAGTATATTTCAGGAACAACTAGGAAAACAGTTAGGCAGTCATGTATCTGATGCCCAACCTGAGGCAGCATGGGATGATATCCGAAAAGCTGTGAACACAGCAGTGATATCTGCTAGTACAGTAAACCACAAGGTTAGGAAGCAACACTGGATCTCAGCAGCATCTACCGCACTGATAGATGCTCGAAAACTCATTCTATCTGGCTCTGAACATAACGAAGAGCGGAGTTAGCTTAAGCGTAAGCTGACAAGAAGCCTACGCAATGATCGCGAACAGTGGTGGGTAGCGAAAGCAAGAGAGATGGAAAAGGCAGCGGCAATAGGTAATAGCAGACAATTGTTCAGACTCGTTAAGGAAACCGGTATTAGGAAACCGACTGTTAGCGAAACAATCTCAGAGAAAGATGGACATATCATACATTCTCAATCCAGGAGACTGGATCGATAGGCAGAACACTTTATTGATCAGTTCAACTGGCCTTCAGCCACACTTCGGTTTCCCACGATCGGTAGTCAACCTGAATGGCAAGCTAATGTAGGTCCTCCGACTCTTTATGAAGTTGAAAAAGCTATCGGAAATTCGACAGGGTTACTCCTGTGATTTTTAAAGATGGTGGTCTAGTATTAGCAGTGAAATTGACTGAGTTCTTAGGTAGAATTTGAGAACTGGACGTAATCCCATTTGACTGGTCTCAACCACTGATTGTGCCAGTCTATAAGTAAGGACAAAAGTCCTCTTGTGACAATCACAGAGGGATCAGTTTGACTAATATAGTGTCTAAAATATTCGCTTCAATAATACTTCGGCGCCTAACCAAAGCTCGTGAAGAGCAGACTAGAGAAAACCGGGCTGGTTTCCGACCTGGACGTGGTTGTATAGACCAGATATTCACACTACTTCAGGTCCTAGAATATAGACACATTCAGACGCCCCACAATTGTAGTGTTTCTGCACCTTAAGGAGGCATTTAACTCTGTCGATCTTGAGGTTCTATGGCAGTGTTTGCCACTGAAAGGAGTACCAAAGAAGTACATTAACCTTGTAAAGGCTCTCTACTCGAACACAATTGGTCGAGTGATAGCTTATGGCGAACTGTCATCAGAATTGATTACCTCAAGTGGCGTTCGTCAGGGCTGTCCACTCTCTCCATTCTTGTTTAACTTTGTCGTTGACGTGCTTTTAGAGATGACACTTTTCTCGGCTAAATTTCCTGGGGTTGAACTTCCGTAGGCTACTAGTATTTGATCATAGGTGTCTTCGAAACATTGCTCGTATATCATGGGATCATCGAGTAAGTAACGCAGTTGTTAGGAAACGGGTACTAGGTAAGGATGGCAAACCGATTGATGAAGTGGTGAAACTTGATCAGTTGAGATGGCTCGGACATGTGTTACGTATGCCCAACGACCGACTGCCCCAACATGTGATGTTTTATGGTGTAAGAGTAAGTTGGAAGAAAGCTAGGGGCGGCCAGACCAAAACATGGCACAAATCCATAAAGTCACTGACGAGTGGACTGAGCTATGTTGGTAGGTGTAGACTACCTGGCTGGGGACCGCGAGATGATAGCAACTGATGGTTAGAGACCCTGAATGACATGGCTCAGAATCGTTTGCAACGGCGCAGGTGCATCCACTCTTTGTGTTCTCCCAAATTCTAATCTCCTGATTCCTCCTTGTCTCTTTTTTTCTCTTTCCAAATTTATTTCACTGGATTATACTCTTTAAATAACATCTTCAAACCCTAATCTTTCCGATTACTGCTTATACTGTTACTACCTCTACCACTATGGGATTTGAATCGACAAGTGTATCTCTGTGCTAATGTGGTGTGGCAACTCGAATTGGTGTACGTACGTACGAAGTTCTACGTTGTTACTGACCGACTGACCGAGGAGACTCAAATGCGATACTAAGAAACGGGTGCAGCAAGATGGTTAGGGATTTTCAATATTGGTGTCTACATTACCCAAAAGTATGCGTTACATTATAATCGTCGTTTGTATATCCGACATATATAATAATAATAACGCTATTCACAATAGGAATGCTATTTTAAATTGAATCAAATCAGCATGAAAAGCACTTGTTTTTTTCGATAGTGTCACGGCTCTAAATGGATCAGCATCTGTCGCGGCTCTTCGATGTCTTATCAACTTTGCTTATGAACGTACGAGCGATGAGGTAAGTATCTTTTCCGTTTCTGTTTTATTTGATTCATAAATTTTAAGTTGATAATTTCATGGTTGACCATATTGTTTTTTTACTCCAGTTAACATATGTACGGGCAAGGGCTTTCGAAATTCTTTCTCGCTTTCTGGCTCGTGACCCAAACTATTTACTTAAAGACCCTGGTCAGCTACCTCGATTGTTTGACGTCTTATCTGAGGTGAGTCTTCATCGAACGAATCTTCTTAACATTTATCCTTCCTCCTATTTTCATTGGTCTAGTTATTTAGGCATATAAGTCCTAGTACAGTAGAGGACCGAAAGTACCTCACAAATGAGGGATAGAATAACAACTAAATAAGTCAGAATATTTTAAAGAGCAAGAACGAAGATTAGTGCAGAATAATATGATTTCATTTTATGTCGTTACGTTCTCGTCAGCTGCTTACAACAGATAACATTTAAAATCAACGTTATTACAGATATTGACATACTTGTAAATACGACAGTGATTAGAGATGAATATATGTATCATGATGTAGCGAAGATTCCCATAGACTTAATATCATAATAATTTTGTTTCGGAAAAATAAAGTTAGGGAATATTCTAGGACCTTGAAATCGTGATTAGAACTCATCGAGTTAACAATCAGATGATTGCGTAATGAAGCAACTGAAAACAGCTTAATGCTAATTAAAAAAGATATGAATTGAAATCAGTCAGTTATAAGCTGAAGAAAAACTATAATGATATAATCAAACTTCAAGAAGGGTCGAAATAATGAATGACGTAACTAATTAAAAGGGATATAATGTTACCGGGGCAAAGAAACATTTATTACTGCATTTTTTGGATGCATAAATTTGGTTTTAGACGCTTGATCGCTATCGTATCGGCAAATCTCAAAAGATTGGAGTTTGATTGTTTGATGTCCTGTGTTAAGGAGATGTCTTGAGATGGCACTGCTGAATACTTTTAATCCACTTGACCTATAACTTTTCGGAATATGTTCTTAAAATCAAACGTAGGCTCTCCTTTCTGTTCTACCAATGTAACTGCTTTGGCAGATACATATAAATTTGTATACACGGTAGATGATAACATGAAAGGGATACCTATCGACCTTTGATTGTGCTAAAGATTATGTTGTTTTGGACAGGACAATAAGTTTAGCTGTAGTATAAGTCCTTGTCAATGCAGTTTTTAGTCATATGGATTGATACTGTGACATCATCACCTTTAGATTTAATTTGAATAAAAATGGGTTTTTTTTATTTACTGAAGTTTCTTTGGGTCTTTTATCTTCACGTTTTCCATTTTTCAATAAATTTCAGTGGATATACGTTATTCTTTTAACATTTGTTAACATTCATTGCTTCCACATCTAGAGTATCGGCAGTACATTTTCTTTCTGTTCTGTGAAACAGTGTTTTAAATGCGTTTTTGTAGGTGATTGGACAAAAGCTATTGAAATTTGGATAAATCCCATTCTGTCTCTTTCTTATAACCTGAACGTTGATCTGTGCCATCCTTCCTTCGTTTTATTGTGATATCGAGAAAATAGAACTTGTCTTCATTTTCATGTTCCTTAGTAAACTGGATATTTGGTGGGCTTGTTTGAAAGTTTTAGCAGATTTGCTTCATGTTTTTGATTATTACATACGATGAAGGTATCATCAACATACCTCGAATAATACATCATTTCGTGAATCGCTCCTTCGAGCTTGGTTCTTTCGAGATTAGCCACGAAAATATGTGCTAGAACAGGACCTAACTTTCAGTTGAAAGTGAGAGTAATCTATTCACTTATCCGTCCATATCAAGGCATTCAAATGTTTCGATAACCTTCTAGTTCGTTTCCTAAGAGTTATTCGATAAACTAAGTCTTTTATTTGCAAGTTTGCTTATTGAAATGTTCTCATAATTTTATTTCAGGAGAATCCCAATGAACTGAAACTTGCTGCAGCTCATTGTTTGAGAAGGCTAGCAGTCGCTTTACACAGTGCACAAAAACAAAATTGTCTTTCTATTCGAGGACACTTAGTTAAGTTGGAACGTCTTCTCTATGAAAATATTGAAAAGGTATTTTTCAATTCCCGATATATTTTCGAAAATTTATAATGCATATTTTTTGAAGCCATACATACTTCATGTAGTTGTGAACATTTTTTTGATATCGGCGTATTTTCGATAGTGTGAAAATTTCTCCGTTCACCTTGAAAGAATTTTCCATATTTGCATGTTGGCAGTTTATTTATGAAATCTGACCACATAGGGTACTGAATATGCGCAACAGCAATGAAGTTGTAGGGATAACAGATCGTAATCAAGATCCTGACAGGTACTCTAAAAAATGGTAGTCTTGCACACATGACGGCATTCGGTAGCTGATCACAATGTCACTACTCTCAGTCTAGACTGGACTTGCCAATATAGGAGGACAGGTAGAATACTGGTCACGACTGTGTGAGCTTCAAAACTCAACTGTCGAGACCTCTGGCATACGGGCCTGCTCTTCAAATAACGAGATATCTTCCTGCTGTTCTCAACTTAGCATAATTGTAAACTATCTCGAAATAGAACAGATACTTTGAAAGACTAGAAAATAAGTCACGGAAAAAATCAAACACCACAAATATGAGGAGCTAAAGGTTAAGCTTACTTATTGATGAGATGAGAAAGTAAATCTAGCCCATGCTCAGCTAAGCGCCTCTGTTGAATAACTGAAGTTGAAGAACAAGTAGGATTTCCAGGTGTACTGGCGGGTATTGTTTCTTCTGTTTGGGCCTTGCTAGTCGTTTGTACGTAAGTTGCAGAATCATTATCTGAAGTAGAACCATTCTCAATCGTACCATGAATGCAGTTAGCCGTACACTTTTGTCCCGAGTTTGAAAGAAAATTTGACTGTGCTAATGAACTCGGATCAAGAGCTAGCATAGCAGCTTCCACTAAGCTAGAAGCTAAAGGGCCTGGAAATGTTATACGCGAACGCATAAGATAATGACCAAGTTTGATGCGCATATTGGGGCTAAGAGGACGACGAGGCTCATTGCGTCCCTAAAATTAGAATGAACAGAGACATGTTAAGTTACTAACAAAGAGATTTAAAACATAAAACAAAACGAAAATAATTGGTTCACGAAAAGATCATGGTATGCGCCAAGTCTCTAAATAAAATCGAAGAAGAAAGAATCATTCTAAAATTGTTTGAAATACAAGGTTTTCTAGCAGAAGATCACACACTAACTACAGTCAAAAATTGTTAAACTTGAGTAAAACTGGTATGGTTTAACTCCACGAAGATGAGCATTGATGGGATATGAGTCAGTCAGTGAGTTACAACGTAGGACCAGGCAAATATATGCATCGGTCCAAGTTGCCATATCTCATTAGCACAACAAGATCAACAACAAATTCATAGAAGTAGTTACTTCAATGATATCAATATATAAAAGAAAGATTGTTTATGAGGATATATTACAGCAAGAAAAATATGAAGCAATTTTAATCTCAAAGTTTAAGGGAAGACAAAGAGTGTATACACCTATACCACTGTGATCGATTCTGAGTCATGTCACCAAGAATCTCCAACCATTGGTTACGATAGTCACGCGGACTCCAACCAAGTAATCTGCATCTACCAACATGGCTCAGACTAGAAGTCCGTGACTTCAAGCACTGATGCCACGTTTTGGTTTGGTCGCCCCTAACTTTCTTCCAACTATCTCCAACACTAGTCAGCATTGCGCGTCTTGGTAATCGGCGTTCAGGCATTCGCAACACGTGACCCAATCATCTCAGTCGATAAAAATTCACAATTCTATCAACTGATTTACCATCACTTCGATATCCATTTTATATGAGGTTAAATCACATTATTTTCTATTTGACCGCTAGTTTTCTATTTCGGGGAGTGGCCCCCTAAGAAAACCACCTGCTTCGGTTTGGGCACCCGGGCAGTATCACAGCCCACACACAAACGATGAACTCTATGTCTTTGGCAACTACTTTTATCGCTCCGAAAAACAAAAACAATCAATCGATTCAAATAATTATCATTACTATTATTGTCATTATTAATACTATTATTATTACTATTATTGTCGTCATTATTATTATTATTATTATTATTATTATTATTATTATTATTATTATTATTATTTCCCACATTATTCACCCTCTTTCACACTTATACAGCGGCTCGGCTTTGGTGGAAATCCGACTGTATCTAAACGTTCTCGAGTCACTGTCCGGTTGAAAGTTGTATGTTACCATCGAATATGAGTACTGAAGCAGTTTTTCTGAAACCACGTGCGCCATTCAAACTGGCTGCCTTCAACGTTCGCACACTTATGCAGGTTGGTCAACAGATAGGGCTGGCTATGTCTTTGGAAAGTCTTAATATTGATGTTTGTTGTCTATCCGAGACCCGTATTCAAGACTCTAGCGAAGTACTACAAATTCGCTCTACATCTGTCACTTCAAAAAGCTTGTTTTACGTGCGCTTATCCGGGGACCCTGTGGCATCTTCGTCTGGTCTTGCAGGCGTTGGTGTCGCACTAAGCGCTAGAGCTGAGGCAGCACTAGTCGATTGGATCCCCATTAACAGTCGGTTATGTGCTGTTAGATTAGAAAGTTCCATCAAAGTGAGAAGAAATCGGCGTGAGAAACGATGTCTTTTCGTCATCTCCGCCTATGCCCCGACAGATTGCAGCCCGGATGCAATCAAGGATGAGTTTTACCACCAATTATCTGTTCTTCTCCAGAAAGTGCGTTCGACAGATATTGTAGTACTAGCCGGAGACTTGAATGCTCAGGTCGGGCGTCTAGGCACAGAAGAGAGTCGTTTAGGTGGCCGATGGGGACTCGTTGGTCGCAGGTCAGATAACGGGGACCGTCTACTGCAACTATGCACAGACCACAACCTGTTTCTGGCTAGCACTAACTTTCGGCACAGTCATCGCCGATGTGCCACCTGGCGTCCTCCCTCTGCATCCCAAGCCTGGACTCAGATTGATCACATCGCGATCAGCTACCGCTGGCGTGGTTGTGTAAAAGACTGCCGCTCCTTTTGGAGTACCTATCTGGACTCTGACCATGCCTTGGTCTGCGCCAATCTTGCCTTACTTTTCAGTGGCCAACGAAGTGACCATCACCAAAAGATTGATGTTAGCAAGCTGGTTGCAACTTCTGTTGCAAGTAAGTATCGAACCGAGCTAGCCTCTAGGCTAGCTACCACTCCACCGAAAAGTATAGATGAGCATTGGTTGCAATTGCATGACGCCATGAAAATGGCGGGAACAGTCAGTTGTGGGTTTGCGAAACGTCCCGCTTTTAAGCACTGGGTTTCTTCTGGTTCCTTACAACTCATTGAAGCCCGTCGGTCTACTCCGGGTAACCGTGAGTTTGACCATAAACGAAGGATGTTATGTAAGGAAATCGGGCAAAGCTTGCGTAAGGACCGAGAAGCCTGGTGGTCGATGCGTGCTAATGAGCTGGAAGCAGCAGCTGCATCTGGTAACTGCCGGAAGCTCTTCCAGCTCATCCGAGCCACTGGCAGCAAGAAGTCTGGTGTGAGTGAAACAATCTGCGAGGATGATGGGATGCCAATCACTAACATCCATCGACGTTTTGGACGATGGGCAGAATTTTTCGAAGGGCAGTTCAACTGGCCTGCTGCTCCGGCAACATCAGTCAGACTGTCCTGCCCTCCATGGCCGGTGACGACTGATCCACCAAACGAGGAGGAAGTCCGCAAGGAACTCCAACTCTTGAAGCGATACAAATCACCTGACCCAGATGCCTTACCTCCGGCTCTTTTTAAAGATGTTGGTGACTTTCTGACTAAGGAATTGACGACGTTGTTCACAAAGGTTTGGGAACTAGAGAGTGTACCAACGTCATGGAATGAGTCGATAGTTGTCCCTATCTTTAAAAAGGGTTCACGTCGTTCCTGTAACAACTATCGGAGGATAAGTCTACTTCCGATTGCGTCCAAGCTATTGGCTTCCGTCATACTTCGTAGGTTGTTCAAAACCCGAGAAAGATTGACTCGCGAGGAGCAGGCTGGTTTTCGTTCTGATCGAGGATGTATTGATCATATCTTCACCCTCCGCCAAATGTTAGAACACCGCCATACTTTTCAAAGGCCAACAATCGTAGTGTTTCTTGACATCAGGGCTGTCTTCGATTCGTTGGACAGGACTGTTCTCTGGGATTGTCTATTGAAGAAGGGTGTGCCTGAGAAGTTTATTAACATCCTAAAAGCCCTATATAAAAACACCTCAGGCAGAGTGAGGGCATACAACCACCTTTCTCCATTGTTTCATTCGAGTAGTGGGGTTAGGCAGGGTTGCCCAATCTCACCATTCCTCTTCAACTTTGCCATCGATGACATTCTGGAAACAGCTCTGATGAATGTAAGTAATGGTGGTGTGGATCTGTTGCCTGGAGAAAGACTTCTCGACCTTGAGTATGCGGACGATATTGTCTTACTGTGCGATAATGCCCAAGGCATGCAATCCGCACTTAATCAGTTGGCAATCAGTGTCCGTAGGTATGGTATGTGCTTTGCACCTTCGAAGTGCAAAGTACTTCTACAAGACTGGCAGGATTCCAATCCTGTACTCACCCTGGATGGTGAACAGATAGACGTAGTCGAGAAGTTTGTGTATCTGGGTAGCTGTATAAGTGCTGGTAGGGGTGTGAGTGATGAGATCAATGCACGAATAGTGAAAGCCAGAGCGGCTTATGCCAATTTGGGCCATCTATGGCGCCTTCGTGATGTTAGTCTGGCCGTAAAAGGTCGGATCTACAACGCGTCGGTGAGAGCAGTTTTGTTCTATGCTTGTGAAACCTGGCCTCTCCGAGTTGAGGACGTTAGACGACTCTCTGTGTTCGATCATCGCTGTCTCCGAAGGATTGCTGACATTCAGTGGCAACACCATGTCAGTAATGCAGAGGTTCGGCATCGTGTGTTCGGGCACAGAGATGATAATTCAATTGGTGTCACCATCTTGAAACACCGACTTCGGTGGTTTGGACATGTTCTCCGAATGTCGTCCCAGAGAATTCCACGTCGTGCATTATTTGCCGACTCTGGGACTGGTTGGAGAAAGCGGAGAGGTGGTCAGTGCATGACATGGTGTCGTGGTATGAAAGAAAGCTGCAAAGGACTGGCGTGTGTTGGTTCTTCACGACTCCCTGGTTGGGGTCCGAGAGATGGTGCTACACAGTGGCTAGAGACGTTATCAGATATGGCTCAGAATAGAAGCCAGTGGCGATCCTGCTGTAACCTTCTTTTACTTTCTTCATAAAAAGTGGTTGTGTCTCCCTTACCTGAAAGATTTCCTCCGATTGTACCTTTGCGTTCCCTGATTACTAGCACATTACCTTACACCAATCTCTTCGTTATTGTTCTCTCTTTTTTTTGTTGCGCTCCTTAGCTTTTTTTTTTCTTTCTTTGTATTCCTCTCGAATTTTCATTGTTTTGTGTGGCGCATATATATTGGCGCTCTCCTGTACCAATATTCATGTGTCCAAATGAATAAATAAATAATTTCTATTTCCTATAACTAATATAGAGTTAATTTGGAACAAAATAATTGGTTACTCTCTTTTAGCCCGACCCCCTGAGTCGTTTAGTTGCTGTCAACTTTGCCGGTCTAATATATCCATCTGATCACATCCCTACGAGGTATCTTATACTGCAGGCATTGGGCGACAAGTACGTTGCTTTTTTTGAATTTTTATGGTTCATTTGATTATATCCGTCCAGTTTTATTCAGCTGTTTGATTTTATATAACCTTTTTTTAATTTAAGGGCATTAAGTTTGTAGGTTGTTTTAAATTAACATTTTCGTTAGTCGTCTTCCTCTTCATTAAGCTGTTCTTTTTCCGCAACTTGTATTGTGGGCCTTTTTAGTATCACCACAAGGCCTCCTTTGAGCCAGGCTTAATTGGACTTTTGCCTGTTAAGCGAGGAATTATCTCGAGCACTATATCTGATAAACTTTAGCAGCCTTTATATGGCAGAATAGACTATAGTTCGACAATCGAAAAGAATTTGCAATAATCATCCATGATTTCTGTCACCATAACCTTATCTCACTGAGCCATGGAATAGCAAAATACAATCCTGACCTTTGACTGCAGAGAACTTTTTAAGAAAGATATCACTGCATATACAATTTTAACTAAAATAAAATCATAAGATAGAAAGTGATTAAATGGTTCTTGCTTATTGTTTCAACAAAGTTATGTATTATTCAATAAAGTTGTTCCGTCTAGAGATCAGGATGTAAATAATTATAAAGTAGATAGTTTACTTCTATGACCAATGTCCTGAAACGTTGAGTTCCACTTTGGTTGCTTACTATCTGATTTAAATAGGCTTTAAATTTTTTGGTTAGTTCTCTGACTCAAGAAAAAAGGACTTTTTCACAGAGGATAGATCTATGTATAGCAGTTTTTCATTAGTATTTAAAAAGTATCTTGTGTCCTTATCCTTAAAATATGTTTTCGATCTTTATATTAACAGTACATTTCTTCAATAGAATACTTAAAATCTCTGCTCGAATAGATTGTTTTCAAACACTTATATGGGTGAATATAAATTCCTTTACTATTCCTAAAGAAACTCCTTATTTTTATTTTTTATTTTTATTTCAGGGATCCTCGCGTAAGAGCTGAAGCATGCGTGGCTTTCGAACAGTTTCTTGACCCTAATATTATTCATGACATCGTCTATGGGCGCGTTAAACTACCATCTTTCGTTGAATTTGTTAATCATGTGAGTCGTATACAAAATAACATACATATATGAGTTATTTAGGAAATATTTTAACATCAGAACGCTGTTACTTGGACCGATGCACATATGTGTCTGGTCCTATGTTGTAGCTGACTGACTGACTGACTTGAGAACAATTCATTGTTAAGAAGTATTTGGTTGACGTTATTTCTCGATGCATAACTTTCTACCACATGAAGCACAGTTCCACCGAGCCTAGAAGTAGGAATCGACAATCAACTCGTGTTATTGTGTGGTCATAATTTATAAAGGCTTTCTAGCTGACTATTTAGTTCTATACCACGGTTTTCTTCCTTTTTGAAGTGACTGGTTGGGGAATTTTGGTGAACGTTTCTCATAAATTGTGAGATTCTGTTTAATGTGTTCAACCCTTAAATACAACTTATGAGTAAAGAATTTGGCGTCTATTAAAGTCGATTTCCATTAGTTTATGCTATTCAGTGTGAACTCAGCTCATAAACTTTCAGTACATTTTTACTACTATTTCCAATCAGTAATAAATTCTCAGTTTACAAATTCTAATAATTATGGTCGATATATAATTGATTAACTTAAATGTATTTTTGATTAATATACTGGGGTCATCGTCAAAAAGCCCCAACTATTGAACTAGTCTCTTTACTTTAGCTAACGGAATAATTAAAAAGAGAATAGAAGCAGTTGCGTTCATTGTACGACAATCAGTATTGCAAAACATTATTATAACGCACGAACATATCACATTCATCATAGTTGGTTTGAACTGTGAAAGCGTCACTCTTATAATGACAATAAAATTCTAATTCGCTTATCACAACTCGAAAGAGTGTTTAATTTGTTTCTCAAAATAGTACCCTAGTTTACACTTTCTGATATACTGGGTTCTGACGAGAAGAAACTATATCGTATGCTTTATAACTGATAATTATAAGCTATTAATATATTCCTTCTCCGTAATTATACTGTCGATATCCCACGAACTGCATCTCCGAATGAAATCACGAGACTTATATGCTGTGATGACATCTTATTTGATGTAACTAATTTTACAGCGTTTTCCTTACAACAGTTTATTTATACAATGGTGATGCTTTGGTGGATGATGTCGAAAAATGTTTACGAATAATTTTTCCCTTAAATTTCTGTCTTTACTTTTAGGATACTCAACATTCACGTAAAAACCCGTTTGTTGAAGTGGAACGTCTGATTCCGGTAAATTTCGTATTTCTGGGATTTTCATTCTAATAATCTGAAGTTTGGTTATCTTGTACAACTGTACATGGTTCTTTATGATCAAAGATTCACAGTTTGAAGAAATATTAACTGGATTAACAGTGATTATCGATAACCTGTGAAGGATCTATCACCAAAATATTTTAGTATCTCTGGTTCGCATCTGTTTAAGAGTTTCAGTTGTGATAACACGAAATAAATGAAGTTCATTCCATAATTTATGGTATTTAACATTGAGTTAGGGATGGTCTGATGCCTTTATTTTTACCACTCTTCAACCGTCCTGTCTGGAGTGGTAGGACCTTAAGGAATGATCGTTCCAGCCAGTGTAGCCTGATTGGTCCATCATGTTAAGTGGCATCAGTGCTTGAAGTCACGGACTTCTAGTCTGAGCCATGTTGGTAGATGCAGATTACTTTTTTGGAGTCCGCGTGACTATCGTAACCAATGGTTGGAGATTCTTGGTGACATGACTCAGAATCGATCACAGTGGTATAGGTGTATACACTCTTTGTCTTCCCTTAAACTTTGAGATTAAAATTGCTTCATATTTTTCTTGCTGTAATATATCCTCATAAACAATCTTTCTTTTATATATTGATATCATTGAAGTAACTACTTCTATGAATTTGTTGTTGATCTTGTTGTGCTAATGAGATATGGCAACTTGGACCGATGCATATATTTGCCTGGTGCTACGTTTTAGCTGACTGACTGATTGTAATCAGTCGCAATCACAATAAGGTGGGTTTTGCGCCACTCAACTTCCCCAACTTCGAATTGCGACAGTTACGAAGATCAATACCTTGAATCGTTATCATTCAATTTAAACGTATTTTATGAATTGATTTGATTTCGTGGTCTCCGCAACGACGGATTTCTCTAACATATTTCTGATCTAAACACCACTCTCACTGGTGTCACTCACATCTCATTGTACAAACTCGTTAGTCTTATAACCTTCGAAATATTCAACTTTTACCACAATACACTTTGCTCATTACTTAAAGTATTCGTGAAAATCTTCTGTTTTTTTTTCGGGGGACGATGAGAAATGCCAGAACACAGTTCTAGTGATTGAGAACAATAATCTAGTATAGTGATCGAACAACCCAAAATTTTGTAATATTAGTGTTTTGTTTACCTTGGTTTACGAGTTTACTAAACAGGGCAGAGAAGTTACAATTTTTGTAAGTAAATAGACAATCAAGTCCAAATTCTTCCACGATGATAAGTGTTCACGTTTAACGTCATATGTTGTTTCCTGGGTTGTGTGCATTACTTAGAGTTCTGGTAGCTTAATTCGCGTATTTACCGTGCAGAACATATATATTTCACTAATCACCATATATTGATTCCTGTAGGTGGTTCAGTTTATTCGTTTATGCTTGTTGGCAACCCATGGTGGCCTAACACCTGCACAGGAGGCTGGGCTTACTTACGAAACGGAAGAAGAGGTTCGATATTTGATTAACCAAACTGTACGGTACTTTCTTTCTGCTGGAAACTTGACGACAACCGTATCTCAAACCCCTCTTTCAGTTAGCAACACAACATCTGTATCTACAACTTCAACGAGTACCTCTATTTCCACTGGTGCCAATGTTCCAGTTATCAATCCTGAACAAGCGAAACGCAGTATCGACACTTATTTTCGTCTTATTCAAGTGGTTATTTTCACGCGATCGCAACACACTAAAGATTGTTAGTTTTATTTTATTTTCATCTCACCTAATTTTCTGAAAAGTATCTGGATTTATTTTGCAAACGAAATATCACAAATCATCTATACCCTTGTGAATATTAAGAAAGACTTCTCAACAGGCAATACTTCCTGTACATTAAAAAATCATTACGCTATATTATCACCTGTTAATTAAGCCGACGTTTATCGTTGTTATGATAGGGTGTTAACAACTCCAAAAGTATACATGAATGTCATTCCCCCTAATGTTGTTAAGGTTTTACATTCGAATTTAGATTCTAGTAGTAGCAGAAAATTAGTGTTTGATGTATTAATCAAGTCAGTATCAGGCAACCTAAGAAATAAAACAACCATTCATAATTTGCATCAGGCAAGCAGAATAACCTTTATAAAAGCAAAGCAAAACTTTAAGACGGACAGTTGATGAAAGACCTCGCAAAAGTATTCCTTAAGTGAAAATTTGGTGTTAATATAATGCACTGCATATGTTATACTACTAGCGACACCGTGCTGTATCACACAAAATCTCTAGCAAAAGACAATTATTATTTCATTGAGCCCCTGATTTCGAGTTCTAATACTCCTCAATCCACTTCTGTACTTCAGTAGCTGTTTGCTACGTATTACAATTAAGCACCAGACTCTTGTGATTTTCTCCTTGGTAATCGTCATTAAATTTTTATCTTAATTAATCAGATTCTTAAATCTGTGATATATAAAAATGCAAATAATCGGTAGATATGCAGCAACAGTTGCTTGAGTGTTTTATCTTGGAGTGATTCAAAACCAGGTTATAAAACTTGTTCTTATTTTCCTTAAATCTTACAGCTCCAGATTTCCCAAACTATCTAGAAGAAGTTTTGGTTGGCAATACCAAAGAATTGATTACTTGTAATAAGCAACTTTTTGATCGTATGAATGTGAGTTTCCTTTATATATATCGAATAAAAATAGGTAATCATATTTTACCGGTGTACTACAATTTATCTTCTGGTCAAATATTTTTCTACTTGTTTACGAACCAACTTCTTTGTTTTCAAGTACTTGTTTTTTAAAAATGACTGCCTCCAAACCTAATTTTACCTACTCTCAGAGATTTTAAGTTTTTCTATCGTCCAACACACTGAAAATATTCAAAATCTCTAATAAGCCAAATTTTGACAGTTCGTAATGTTACGTTTTTAAGCTTACGGTGATTCCAAACATCGATCATTTGGACGAACCGGATGACTGATACACAACATTTAAACAACAATCTCTCACACAATTTAAGAGATAAGGATTTCTGAAAATGGTCCTAGTATACAAAGAAGTGAAAATTTTTGTAGAACTTTTCCTATACAATAGCAAGTCTGAACCAGATACACGAAAAAATAGCAAACGAAGTGTTAGAACAGCTAATCAGATAGCATAAGACCCAGTGGGGATATAAAATAAAAAAGGTTACTTTGGGCTTCCCTTCGTATTTGAGCTGTCGTTTTTTGAAATGTTAATGAAACAGATATCTTAGATTAAATAAATACTTTTGGTTTTTGAAATAAGTTTATTGCATTTGAAATCTTACGGTATTTCTTCTCTTAAGTTTGTCAATTTTTTCAATTTACACTCTCTCTTCACTGCTTTGCATTTTTGTTGGTAACATCTAAAATTTAAAAGCATCAAGGAAAGTGTTTAGTGGTTATGTTGAGTTCTTCTGGCTGATCTTCACTGAGTTTTCTGTGTTGTAGGTTCTAACCCTCCACTCATATTTTTCCTTTCACAATTACCTCTAAAAGTTTTCTACGCACTGACACATTTTACGCATGCTTGATTTCCGTTACATCCACAAACACTGATTCATCAGTCTAATATAAAATATCACCTGGTTGTCTTTGCTCCTGACTGGTCTCAGTATGCAGTTTATTGTTCGATGCATTCGTCCCATTAATTCCTCTCCTAACGATTTCTGTTGTACTGGGTACTCTTGTAAATGAATAGGATACACTGAATTATCTCTGCTAGAGCATGTTCCCTTTTTTAAAATCAAATCTGCTCTTTGAACTGTCCACAAGTCTTTGAATCTTTCCATTAGATTATGGATGGTATAGTAGTGGGCGAATATAATTTTCAGTGGTGCGTTAACAAAAATCAGTTTACCATTTCGACTTAAATTAGAAATCATCGTCAATAATCACTTTCTTTGGAGTTCTGCGGTATTACGAGCATACGTCTAGCACGAAATCATGTACTTCTGTTATAGAACTGACAAAATTGAGGTGTATTGTGACCCATGAATATTCTGAATCTTTCGGTGAGTTCCTTGATCTGCGTTCATGCTCCTCACATTTTCACTATTTGTTTATTCTGTGCATCTATTTTCGGTTATTATGCGTAACTGAATTCAGTCGATCTAATCTGAGCAAGACCTGAATATTGAACATAAACTATAAAAACGAGTAATTTGAGTTCTTCCAAGCATATCTTATTTATTTTTTAAAATTTAATTTGCTCCGTTGTTTTCTAGAATGTATTGTTGGCAACCCCTAGAGGAGCGAGTTGTCGTCACGCTTGCGCTTCTGTCTACAGTGTAGTTGTTATGGAAACTGAAGCCCCCGCTCAGGCTTTGCAAACAGCAAAAGGTATGCTGGCTACACTTCCCAGTCCAGGTTCTGTTATTGATGGCGAATCGTCCCATGCAGTTCAGGGCATGTTCATGGGTGCAGCTTATCTTCTCGAACGGTTATTCACGGCTTATGTTGTACCATTTAATTCCACTGGTGTCATTTCTAAAACCAATAAACAGTCTTCAGCGGAACAAACAAAAAAGGGAAAAAAAGAAAAACAACAAAATCATAGAAATCTCCAAACTGATATTATTCGAACTATAGAGGAACTGCTAAGTCTAATGGGTTAGTAATTTTTCAAATTATCGATATTAATTTTAAGTAAATCCCAATAGCCAAAAATGTTTGCTTTTGTTATTGTATTACTAATATCCAAATTTAATTTACGCCAATTTTTAATTCTCATTTCTGAACGGAAATTTTTAAACTGAGATAATAACATCCTTCTTTAACCAAGGATTATCGTACCTATATTTTCATATGAACAACGAATAAAACTAATGACAAACATGTAAAATAATTATCCATAAGTATGTGAATTTATACTTCAGTAAATGTTTGTTAATTAGCCTTTAGTTCTTGATTATGTGTATCAACTTCTACATATTGTCTTTACTAATTTTCATCGTTTCATAGATGGATTTTTGGTAAAGCCTAGTCAGCTTGTTGATAGTCTAAAAATAAATAACACAAAAAATACTCTGGACAACGATGGATATTGCTATGTTAATTCTAGTGTATCACAAGCTACAGTGGTTGCATTACTCGAGGCACTTGTTGTTATTGGCAGAGCTGGTTGTTTATCGCATCTTCCATCCGGAACATTACCCATTGAAGGTAATAATTCGACCACCTCATTACTGTGTTCCAAAGCTTCATTTGTTCATAGAATTGTATCATATCTGCCAACCGTTAGTGAAGAACGTTCCTCATCGTCACTTAGATATCCAAGAGTTTCACAAGCTGCTCTTCGAACTTTGGCAGCCGTTTGCATGGGTGAAGGTTATCAAACCACAAAAGATGAAGCATCTCATTCTTCAGAATCTAAAGCAACCGAAAACTCAAAACCCAAATGTCATCCCCACACGATTTCTATTTTGAAAATTATGGTGGGTACGGCTGAAGTAAGTAGAAATTCGATTTCTTGACTGTCCGTTATATGTTCATCCTCTCTACTGTTCTTTGTGAAATTGCTCTACTCATGAACTTGATATCTCGCTCTTATACTTTAACTACCATCATCTAAGGTCTGCTGACGTAGCGCATAATCCCTATCTTGGATTCGTCTAAGGAGAAATTAGCAAATTGCTATGCTCATTTTCAAACCCAAGCAATCCTCGGGTTAGGAACAGCGTACTAGGTAGGTATGACAAACCAATTGATAAAGCACTGAATCTTCATCGAATAAGGTGGTAAGGACTTGTGTTACGTTTGCACAACCACCTACCTCGACGGGAAATGTTGTCTGGTGTGGGAGTGCGGTGGAATAAATCTACTGACGGTCAAACCGAGACATGATACCAGTTCATGAATTCATTGACTATCAGACTTTCAGCCATCTAGTTAGTTGAAAACTATCTGGTTAGGGTCCACATAGTTGTCATTACCAATGGTAAAAGCCTTTGGATGGCATGGTACAGATGCATCTGTTCTTTGTCTTCCCCTAGATTCTAAGTTTCAAAATTCATCACAATCTTTTTAGTGAACTAATTTTTTTTGGTTCGTATCTTCGATGCTTAATCTTTTTCTATTTCCACTAATACTTTTACTAACCCTAATACTCTGGGGTGTGCCTTAAGGTTTTTATCTCGCTGTGCTTATAAAGTATAGGAACGTGAACCGATGTACACACATACTAGATTCTACGTCGCATTTGATTAACTAGTTTTTAGGCTTTGTTCAACTCTCTCAATTTAAACCACACCGCATATAATGTAGATAAAAGAAATTGAAGGGAAAATCCTACATTTTAAGTCGGTAGGTAATATATATACAAATAACTGATCAAAGCACTTATTGTTATGCTCTCAAGAGGGTATGTGCTAATTTGTAGATAGATTGTGTACAACTACTCTGTTCTTATGACAAATAGTTACTATCAATACGGAAATAGGACATAGCTATCATCATTCAAAAAAAGGAAAGATTGAGCAGTACTCGATGAATGAATTTAATTAAGAAATTATTAGTCACAGAGTAAAAGTACGTAAACTACTCTATCAATGGCTTCTTTATTCAGTGTACTAGCTGAGGAGGTGCTATGGTTGAAGCTATCACGAGTTTACTTGATCTGCAAACGAGAAACCAGACTCGGTGACCAAAGACCAGTAAGCTAACTATTGATGCGTCCCAGCCCAGCTGACTAGGGAAAGAATTCCAAACTTGGGATGGGAAGTATATTCTGCAAACAACCAGAAACGAGCGATGACAACAAACACAATTCAAAACGTATATATACAGTACCAAACCGTCCTTAGGGAGAGTTACCAAATAGCATACTAAAAGACGCAACGGACCAATAGCATTTAAGATATTTCCCAGTGGGAAATACGACATGAGGGTGACAAGAGCGCCCTTGGCACGAAAACAAAGAAATTCAAATTTTCTAAATAAAATTACAAAATTAGGTCCTTTCCCAAGTGAGTTCTGTGGATCTAACGTTCCCAACAGGAGCACAACAGTCATTTAATTCAAACATCTCTAAAAAAGCAACTTAACTGTGGTTCGTTTTTTAACAATTTTTTGATAGTTTTTTAAAAATTTTAAACCAGTAATTTTTCAAAACAGACGCTCCTTATTCTGAAGTTCATTTTGTTTCTGTGTCGACTATTAGCCGCCATAAATGAATATATAAATGATTTCTCGTAGTCTTCACAATTTTGGAAAAAAAACGCGTAACCGTTGTATGCTTTTGTTCTCTCGGTAGTTTTATATTGATTCGGTCGCTTAGATGACGATTTTTAACCTTTATTCTTTTGTCTATATTTACTATTTGATATCAGGTAATAGTTTCTCTTACTATCGCAATCTCTTTTTCGCTAATAACAACTTTGATGCTAATACATGGAGTATTCTACAACTAGTGTTCTCAGAAATTTTCCGGTTTGCGCATGTGATTGGATCACATTTCGTATAAAGATTGAAATTTATGCTATGAACTATTTCGAACCACTAGTGTCGTATTAAAGAAAAAGAAATATCATGTAAGAAATGCTTTTTTCTTACTAAAAGCTGATATCCCTACTTCCTAAGAAGTGGCTGTAAAACATGTATGTTTATTGCGGTGTAATCTATTCTCTGCTGTTATCTAACAAGTTTCATGAAATCGTATATTATTGTATCTCTAGGCGACCATACTCCTGATCCTAATTATTGATTTGGGATTCTGTCATTTCTTTCTTAAGATCACTTAGAAATGTGATAATAGATATTTTATCGCTTTGTCACATTCATGAATCTACCGACTGCGGAAGGGGACTATAGCTCCCCATAATTCATAGCTGGCTAAAGTCTTATTTCATTATGATTTCTGATGAATATTCAGAAATTAAAACCTGATAATGTCTAGTAACTCCGTTTAATGTTTCCAAAATGAAGTCAGATTTTATTATAATTTAAAATATCTATCTATATCAAAAACAACATTTTATTTCATTCCATCAGTTGGTGTTTCCAAAGATAAGATTTTTACATGATTTTTCGGTCACTTAAAAGTATATATTTTAATATCAATTTATATACCAGATAAAATATTTGTATCAGCATTTCTTACTCGTATTTTTTCTCTCATATATCTGTTCAGATTAACGACCCAAGCCTTCATTTAGCTGTAGGGACTGCCCTAGCTGACTGCATTCTTGGACCTATATCACCCTATCGATTTCATTGGTATGAAAGGAATTATCCTCTTGTCATTCCAGCACATAGTTTAAATGCTGCTGTTACCGGACCAAATGCTCGATGGTTGGCAGAACAACTTCGATCACTACTTACCCCCCGCCCAGGACAGGTCCAAACACGACCAGTGACAATCGCTGCAACTTTATGGATTCTTAACTTAGTTCGGCGTTTGGGTCCACTTCCAAAATCACTACTTTCTTACCAGTTGCTAATTGATCTTTTGGACCAAAAAGATGGTAAAGATAACTATTTTGATTCTATTGTTTTTTAAACCTATGGTTTTACGAAATTTTTAGATTAGGATGCTTAAATCCTACTTACAAACCTTTTATAAAGTAGTGTTTGGTTTTTTTTTTTTACAAATTAGGTTATAGTGACTATTTAACAATTCCCCAGTTTGTATCAATCTGTGACGTACACCTACTTCATATTATTTTTTAGGTTTGTTGTTCATAATTATTACCATCAGAAGTAGATGCACTTGCGAGATGCTACAATTTGACATCCGTTAACCCTGACTTTCTCGCTTTCTTTGTGCTTTAAAGTTATTACAAGTTTTTCCTGTAGCGTCAAACTTTTATTCGCTCTTTAAATGAAAATTCTAATGTTCCTTATAACCGCTTGTGCTTTACTTATTAAGTGTAATCAAGTAAGTGTCCTATACGTAACAATAAATATTGAAAATTTACGAAAAAAAATTTTATCTTTCGAGCTGTAATACTTTATATGGGGGATCATCAGGTTTTGATTCATTAAGAAAATATTTGACATCCGTCGCGATAAAACTTAACTATGTCTAAATTATCACTCATTCAGTAAAAATTATTTGTGGTTGTGTGGTAAAAGTCAAGGTATATATGGATAATTATAGAAATTCGCAATTTCTTTGTGCTGTTCCCGTATTAAGTATGTACATGGAAGTAAAAAAATAAAAGCCATGCACGGACAAAATTCGTTTGTTCCTTTTTCGACAATAAAGCAAGTAGTCTTACACAAAACAGTTTTTTTAAGTCATAGTAATGGTTATTTTTTAGATAACCTCAAAATAAGACAAGAGTTTTTGGATCACATTCACTTGGTTGTAGATTTTCACTCACCTATTTATATGTTCTACTTATAGAGTCCGTTCAGTGCGTTGTTGTTGCAACTTTGGGCTTAATTTATGACAGAAGTTCAGAAGACGAACGTTCAGAGCTTATTACAAGTTTAACACAAGCAATCGGAGATGATAAAAAGTAAGGTTTCCTTTAAAGGAAAAACAATAACTTCTTTACATCAGTTCATCCCTTAAACATTAAATTTACTGTAAAACGAGCTTAAACTGCTTTATTACTTATAAAATTATCATTTGTTCCAGCTTTTAGATGTATACTTAATGTCTCTTGTGAAACACGAACAAATATTCATTGATGCTAGATATTATTTGCTAATCGTAACCTTTTCGCTCTTTCAAGTTGTATCTGTATGAATCTCAAGATAATTGTTTTTACTTGAACAACTGAATATAAAGAGAATTAATTCAAGTTGGCATAATGATATTTGACTTATCTGTCTAGCATTCTCAACTTTACGTAGTATTGATTTGTTTCAGTCATCAGTTATAGTCCACAACAGAATTTCTTATGCTTTCCTACTTTTTTACTTGATATCAGATCATAGTAACGGAAAATATTTTTGCTAAACAACAAATCGTAACCTACAGTTTAAACGTTTCTGGTAATTAGTATTGTTTTTTTGACAGCGGACTACCAATTGGTACAACATTTTATACTTAGTACTTATATGACTATCGTTGTTGGTGAAGAAGTTATTACTGCATTCACATTAGTTGTTATGTTACTGTTAGTTCGTTCAGCTGTCATCACATTTCTCAATTATACTGAGTAATCTTTACCATGAACTGAAATAATCTTCATTTCGTTGATATTTTTCTTACTATTACAGATCCAGTTCCCCAGTTTATCATGAACTGTGCAACTTAGCTCAACAAATTGGACGCCCAGACTTGGCTTTATCATTAATTGTGTTAGCCATCGCTCTCCCATCGACGTCACGTAACACCAATGCTTCTGGGAATCCTCAATCCGGAAGTTGTTTTTCTAATATAGCATTCAACTTGGCATCAAGCGTTACTTATTCAAGTCTAGTACGACGACTCGGTAGATCTTTAGCTCCCGCTCTCCCACGCCTAGTACCTCGAGTGTTTGTCCGTCGTTTTGATTTTGCTCGACCTAAACTTCGTCAGGCAATGGAGAATGTTTGGCTTGGTTTGGTTTTATATGCAACTAATTCGGCAACACCATTTCTATCAACTAACACTTCATATCCTAATATATCTGGTTCGTCATCAACAATAACAAGTCCAACCAATCAAAATACTCAGTTGTCTTCATCACCCGTACCGAATTCATTGCATTCTTTAGTTTCGGAAATGGTAAGTTTCACTTTTATTTAATAGTATTTTCGACTCTTGGTGACATGGCTCAGAATCGATCACAACGGCGTCGGTGTATACACTCCCTGTCTTCCCTGAAACTAAGAGATTAAAATCGCTTCATACCTTTCTTTCTACGAACCAATTTTTTCTTCTTGTACTATATCTCTATATGCAATCTTTCTCTTATATATTACCACCTTTGACCTAACCACTGCTATGAATCCGGTGTTCATCTTGTGTGTTGATGCGGTATGGCAACCTGGACCGATGCACATATGGGCTTGGTCCTACGTTGTAGCTGAATACATATTATGCTTTCTCATTTATTACTCTATCTAACAAATGATACTGATCTTTCTAGACCTTAGTATTTAAAGGTGAATTTAAACTCGTCATTTGTTAGTTGGAAGTTATGGATGTAGAGTACTCAACTATATTCACTTACTCGGAAGTAAATCTACTACTAGAAAATGAAGCAATAACCAATCAGGTGTTTCTAATTGTTTACTGAACAATGATCATTTCAATATTGTGAAAATTCCCATTTTGCCATTTGGTAAATAAAGAAGGAACGAATTGTGCGAAGAAATTTCTTTTCAATTAGTTTTTCATCATGGCTCTACACTAATATATATATATATATATATATATATATATATATATATATATATATATATATATATATATATATATATATATATATATATATATATATGTTTTACAATAATAATATAATACTCATCGAGTAGATACGTTACGTAATAATTACATAATGACATTTAAATTAACATTGATTAATTGTAAGAAAGAGGATTATTAATATTCAAAGTGATCAAGAAGTTGCTACGTTGCGTAATGTAAGAAACAAAGAAGGAACAGAATTTTAACGGATGGTCAATAGAATGGTAGTTACGTAAGAATCAAGAGATGAATGTTGAGAAGTTATTAAGTTCAAAAGCAACAGAAACAAAATTACAAAAGTTAAAAAAAAACAAGTGGAAGAAGTATGAAAATTAGTTCTTTTGAAGGAAATCTTAAACTGATGGCCAGGGCAGAGAAAGTGGTTGTACGAATCTCTTTTGAATGCAAAGGTCAGGTTTGTGAACATGGATTGCGATGGCTTCCGCAATGTGCAAGAGGCGCACTGGTAAACCATGTGGCAAATTAGATGGGATATTGTAGATAACCTTAAAAGCTTTATTCAATTCTCTCTCACTTGGTTGACACAAGTCATCAAGTCGCATAATTTTGCACAGTGCCAATTCCTCGCATGAGAAATATTCGCCGAATTTACTCACAGCAACTCAGCACCTGTTGAATGAGCTACATACGTTTTTTCACTTAAGTTATTGTCATGTGATTTGATATTCTGTTTCATTTAAAATATGCAAGTACACTTTCAATATTAAACATTTATCTTAAGCAATGAATTTTTCTATATATTTTTTTCTCCATAAGCGTCCTTATTTCAAGCAACTTTATTTTTATTCGACTTAGTTCATTTTTTTGCGGCTGTAACGACTGGCAATCAGTATTTTCAATTCACACTAGTTTTCTCATCCGATTAGAGCAATCAAATTAGCTTAATTTCTTTCTAATCATCCAGTTTATTTGAATGTAATTAACTGATCAAGTAAAGGTTAGAACACTTGAGTTTGAGCTACACCATTAATATGAAAGTTAATTGTAGTACACGGTTGCCGGGTTTAATATAAACATATTCAGACTTGCCACGTGATGAATAAGAATCAGTTGCTTTTATTTCCAAATTATTATCTGTCAACCATTGACTTACTAATTTATCTTGTCAGATTGAAGCACATTTCAACGCGATCGTATGTGAGATCAAAACTCAACTGGGATTTAACACATTGAGCTTTCATTCAACACAGATGGGTGGCAATTCTCCTCAATCAACCACAAACGTTCCTAACGGTTCGGGAACATTATCAACAAATAAAATACCCTCAAACACTTCCCAAAACAGTGGTACGGGCACACAAAACATGCGTTTAAGAGATGCCTGTTGCTTGGCTATAAGTAGTTTAGCCACACATCCTTCAGCTGATAAGCGTCTTGCAGGGCATTTGCCCGCTCTATTGTCTGGACTCCTTAATCTATGTGATGAATCTGAATCAAGTGACGTGCTTGAAAATGATAATTCAGGCATCACAACTCCCGCTGAAGAAGCTGCCATCACTGTACAGAAAGTAAGTTTAAACTTCGCTAATAAAAGTTTGTTTTTCTTGCTTCCGTTATTAAACACAAATTTTATTTAAGCCGACGCCCATTTTTCATGACTCATTCTTGTATTATTTGAGATATGTTAATGAATGATTTTCCAAGCAAGTCAGAACGGTTCACAAACTGTTGCACGAACATATGACAAACAAGAATTACCAGTGTGAGGTAGCTCATTGTAAGAAGTCGATTCATTTGTCCAAGTTCCTCCCCCACATTTCCTTATCTGAATTAATCGAATTATGTATATGTATTTGTGCATGGATTTTTTTCCTACTTATTTATTGGCCTTTTAAAACATAAATTCCTGCTCACTCTTAATTTTCCTACTCTCTTTGGTTCTTTCACATTCGTTAGAAGTGTTGAAGGTAAATGAACTAGACTTCAGAGCACAGCAAACTTCTGCGGTTACTTCTCTTGACACGCTACTTCTTTATAATACTTTATTCATATATTCAGAAGTTATTCTGTTCAGTCTCGTTAGGTTTGCAAGATTTATCAGTTTCATTTGGTAGTTACTACAGTCTTCATGGTAATATCAACCACAAATTTGTTTGAATCACAAACAAATTGTTAAAACTTCCGTTTATAAATACTTCGCCTTGAAATGTTATTTAAAATGTCATAGAAGTAATGGTATGATCAGTGTCTGAAAGTGCTCTCGGTATAACAAATATTTAAATGTTGAATCACTAACTCGATTAAAACTGTTGGTTGATTAATTTTTATCGGTTGTCTGAATCTTCACATTGATGCTTAACATTGCAATTGATCAGTCCCTTTCTGGTATATGTGCATCCTATGCGGATACCCTCGATATTATCTTAAGTCACAAGCATTATAAGCAGCAATGAATAGTGCTGTTAGAGATATGAGGACGAAGTATGCATTTTTAGCGTCGACCTTTCCTAACCTCACTCCTCCTTGTGAGAAGGCAGCATCGCTGTTATGTTGGTGCAAAAGCTATCAAAGCCCCTCGTAAGACAGAAATGCAGAGTTGGGGGACACCAACAAATCCATGGTCAAGAGTACACGTAGATTTCGCCGGTCCCATAAACGGAAAACAGTACTTAGTGATGGTTGATGCTTTCTCAAAATGGCCAGAAATCCATTACGTAAAGTCTCTTTCTACAAAAGCTACTATTGAAAAACTGAGACAAGTATTTAGCTGCTTTGGGTGTCCAGATGTATTAGTATCTGATAATGGGCCACAATTCACCTCCGCTGAATTCTCGAACTTCTGCGTCGCCAACGCTGTTAGGCATATAAAGACACCCCCATATCATCCACAGTCAAACGGTCTAGTTGAGAGGTTCGTAGATACATTTAAAAGAGCACTACTTAAAGCCGAGGGAGAAGGTGAAATAGACGAGATGATTCAAAGGTTTCTACAGACATACCGAGCAACACCAAACCCAACAACAAATAATGAAGAAAGCCCAGCAGAAGCAATTTTTGGGAGAAAAATTAGAATACCTATGGAGCAAATGAAACCAAAGCTTAGAGCCAACCTCCGAAAGAACAAACGAATGGAACAGCGATTCAACAAGCGGCACGGTGCATTGCCCAGAATGTTTAAGGTGGGACAAGCGGTAATAACAAGAGATTTCACGGGAGTAAAGCCAACTTGGAAGTTTGGCATAATAATACGAAAAAAAGGGAAAGTTATCTACGAAGTAAAAGTTGGACAAAAGATATGGGTGAGACATGCAAACCAGATACAACCAACCAGACAAGAACGAGGGATAGAAAATGCTAATGTGCTAATGTGGTGTGGCAACTCGAACTGATGTACGTACGTACGAAGTTCTACGTTGTTACTGACTGACTGACTGACTGGAGGAAACGCCTTACTGTCGTCAGCAGCGCGATTTGACCCTCGGATCTAGGGTTTTCTGCTTTTAGACTTACCAATCTTCAGCCGACCTGTCTGGCGTGGTAGGACCTTAAGGAATGATTGTTCCAGCCAGTGTAGCCTGATTGGTCCATCATGTTAAGTGGCATCAGTGCTTGAAGTCACGGACTTCTAGTCTGAGCCATGTTGGTAGATGCAGATTACTTGGTTGGAGTCCGCGTGACTATCGTAACCAATGGTTGGAGACTCTTGGTGACATGACTCAGAATTGATCACAGTGGTATAGGTGTATACACTCTTTGTCTTCCCTCAAACTTTGAGATTAAAATTGCTTCATATTTTTCTTGCTGTAATATATCCTCATAAACAATCTTTCTTTTATATATTGATATCATTGAAGTAACTACTTCTATGAATTTGTTGTTGTGTTAATGAGGTTTGGCAACTTGGACCGATGCATATATGTGCCTGGTGCTACGTTTTAGCTGACTGACTAACTGAGAAATGAATGGTGGCTAGTAGTGAAATTTAGTGCTCCCTTGTATTAAAAAGACTTGTAGGCCATTTTCCGCTCACTGATGTTAGTACATTATATTTTAATTTCTTCACCATTTTGTTCTAACGAGATAATATATTTTTGTATTATTATTCCTACTATATTCATGAAATCTTCTTTAGCTTGTTATACGTGTTCTGGAAAATCCGTGCTCTCGTGAAGCAGCAACTGGACTGTTGCCTGGTTTACTTCCAGTGATTATTGAGCGTGCACCATGGTCACTAAGTGCAGACACAGCTTCGAATAAGAATGGCCGTCAACCTTCTAGTGAGTTACGACGACTAGCACTTGAACTTCTTTTAGCAGCTGCTCGTACTGCACGTCCATCTGCACTACGTCCTGCTCTTCCACAGCTCGTATTATCCGGATTACAAGCAATGTCTTCTATTCACCCGTCGGTTGTTGCTAATTTAATGCGACAGCCTATTCATCATCTACATATTTATTCACAGGCTGCTCCAAATTCATTGAATTCCACCTCAGGATTACCATCAGCAACGAACATTTCACTAAGTGTTGCTCCGTCTAATAACCCTACTCAACAATCTGTATTACCTTCATTAAACCCGGCTTCAGCTTGCAAGGAAGTTCAAATGGCAGAAGTTCTGAGATTAGTAAGTCCTTTTTGTCACTGTTTGTAGACTATCCGCATTTACTCGGCTTTCTATATACATATAGAGAGCTAAATTAAGACACAAAGAAGTATGTAGCAAAGGGTGGTTACAAAATGCTTACCAGTATTATGTTTTCCTCATCTCTTTAAAGAAATTACTATTGAAAGTATCTATACTTCATGATTTATTGTGCATCATTTTTCCTATAATTTTACTGCTATTTTAATACTATTTTTAGTGTGTTCGGCTGCTTGATGATATTTGCCTATCACGTCTCATTGTACCATTCACTGAACTCTTAAAGGCTGGTGGTGGATCTTCTTCTGCAACTATAGGTTCTAGCAGCGCTAGTGGAGGTAGTAGCGGAACTGGAGCTAGTGGTTCAGCTTCTATTGCGACTGCTGCTTGTGTTTTCATAATTCATCTAGCTGCAGCGAATACAAACGCTTTGGCTGTCTCTCCTAAAACAACTACATGCATAAGGTGTGCAGCTTCTAGATCGCAACTTGTAACCAGTGGTCTAGGTATGTTAAACATTAAGATTTAATTTCAGTCTTGGGTTTTTAATAGAAATTCTTTTGTTTTTATTCATTAGATTTTATATTTGCTTAAATACATTAACTTTGGAAAATTTTCAAGATTTTAATGTTATTTTCATTTCCTTGAACCTAATAACATCTTGTGTTATTTGCTTTTCGTACTTTGAATTTTTTTTAAAGATAATTCAAACAGTTCTCCTAGTCATAAAACATATAATTCACCATCTGGATCATCACACTCATCACCTTCTTCCTTGTATGGATTGTCTCCCCCAACTCCTCCTTGCGGTTCTGCTTATGAGGTTAGCGCACACTCTTTAAGCTCTGGGGCAATTGACTCACCAACCCTTGGGAATCGATCTCGTACAATGCTTCAGAGTCAAAAACACAATTCAGTTGCTAGCGGGTCATCCAATGTGCCTGATGGTACTAGTTATTCTAATTCGTGTTCTGGTAATCAAATAAACTCTGTTTGTTGCAACTCTACTGGTGATGGTTTCGCCTCCCTTGCTCCTCATACGGGAAAGCTTCTGGCGGCACTCTTATCTGCGCTTCCTGGTGCTTGTCGCCATCCAAACTCAGCTGGAAAAGTTATTCAAGAGGAAATGGCTAGAACTTTAGCCAGTCTTTTGCGGTTTGCCAAAGTAAATTATCTCTTGTTTAAACATTTTTTGGTTATCTGAGTTTAAAAAATTAACACTGAAAATACTCATCTTAAAGCAACGTACTGCAATCCATACGCTCCAAGCCGTAACGAAACTGGTTTGTCCCATATCAGCTATTCGTTGACGTGTTTTGCATGATCTTCGGAGTATTTTAGAGATATCGTTTCGCACATTGTTGGAGCCTCCTAACCTAACGGCACATGAACCACTGGCGATCTTATTGATTAGTATTTCTTCCTTATGCGACATTGTCTCCAGTGAAACTCTGCCGATTTCACTCTGTATCGGAATAAGCGTACTTCAAACAAACTTTTAATCGACAGGTGGAGAATAGATTTGTGCTATTTCATTTTTTCAAAATACTGGCCTCATATGTACTGCACAACTCAATATTAAGACTTTTTAGAAACTTATTTAAACCTACCTGTTATTTAATTTAGGCCAAGATACGAATGTTAGAAGAGTGAAGTTTAGGTTGCACCTGTAGCTTTGAAGCAGCTACACTAGATTTCATATTCGATGACACCATTCATAAGTCGACCATTTAGAGTCTTGAGACCGTTTAGACGGTGCAGAACCTTCAAGTAAAAAAATTTATGGTATGAGTTTAAGAATTGGGATGGTGGGGAAAGATTTGTAGCTTAATTAGGTGGATGATTTTGGTGGAGTTTCGTCCCCTGAAGTTTGTACTGCTAATGTTGTTCAGAAGAATATTGAAAACTCCACTGTGAAACCACCAAGCATGAGGAACGTATTTATTTGAACACATATATATTGGTACAAAGGGGCACCGAATACATAAGCGCCACACGAATCACTTGATTTGTGTGTGTGCTATGATCCTGCTCGGGCATCCAGACCGAAGCAGGTGGTTTTCCTAGCGGGCTTTCGTTCTAAAGGTCTGATCCACAAGGCAGTCTAGCAACATCAGGAAATGCCGTCTCATGTTAACCGGTGACCAACAGTTGGTTCATACGCCATTTGTTCCCATATGGTTCTGGGGCCCATGTGCACCATTGGTTTGAGATCAGGGTTTTCCAGCTGCCCTAGGTGGACTCTTCGTGTCCACCAACCCGTTTAAAGCGTCGGACATTCATTCAGAGAATGAGTTAAAGAATAAAAGTATACACGCAACTGGAATGAAAAGTTAAACCAATATGAAATAAATTCATTCTACAACTATTTTTCCATCGTATGTAATATATTCATGACTTCCATTATATAGATGCATTTCTTTTTCAATGAATATATAAAAATAAAAATACCAATAGTGTCTGCGTTTAAGTGCTTAATTAATTACCGTCAAACTAATCCTGCGTTGTTGCATACAGATAGTATTCATTAAACTTTAAATCAAAAGAACTAGGTCACTTATAATCCTTGGGCAGTTAGAAAATAGATGGAGAAAATGTTTAGGTAGGACGTCATAAGACGAACTCTGTACACTAGTTTTAAGTAGCTGTGCCTTCAAACAATTAAAGTTTTCAATACTTTCACAGGAGACTAGTGTTACAAAACTGTTCAACCGTGTACGTTCGTGGTACCTACAACCAGAACAAGCTACAGCTGGTTCAGATGGTGGTGTACAGGGTGGTAGTAACATTTCAATAAGCCATTGGGCATGTGTTCGTGTGCTACATGCTGTTGCTCATCATTGTCCTGATCTCCTATATGCTCATGCTTGTATTACTTTACCACTGATTTTCTTAAGCAAACAGGTAGCTTATTTTGTATTGATTATTTATCATCTGGTAAAATATGATATTGTCAGTTATAACCGTAATTGATAGGTGCTTAAGAATTTAACTTCCTAGAAAATACTGCATTTTGTTTTTTGTACTAGACCGGTATTGACGTATGAATACTTGGAGGAATACACTTTTTTATGACTGAATAAAGACTGATAACTGGTACGAGTTACAATTACTTCTTAAAGCATAATTACAATTTTTTACTAAACCCTTCATTATTATTTAACAATCTTCGTCTTTTTTCCACCACCCCTCCTCAATAGGTTGAAAGTGAAGTTGAAAATTTAATTTCTTCCAGAACAAGTAGTGCTATCTTTCACTCGAAAAATCGTAATGTTGATATCAATTCTCTTTGTGCTTCTCATCGCGAAACAAATACAAGTGTTTCTCCATATATTAAAGAAAGCATATCAACGAAATTGAATTCCAGTGATTTAGACATTTACCAACAGTTGTGGCGAGAGTGCTGGGAAGAGTTGATTTCTCGCATTCCCTCGGCTCCATGTTCACCTCAGTCTGTTTTGTTTTGGCCTAATGCAGTAACATTGGGTTTGAAATCTATTCTTCCATTAGCTACAGGTTTAGCAAATAGTTTCTTACGACGACCTCTTTTGGATCATTGTACACAACTGTTATATGACGCTCTTCTTGAGTCTCCTAACTGGTCAGTACATAATCAGGCTTCATTTGCTATACTTCAACTAGCTACTCGAATGCTTGGTCAACCATTTTCCACTTCTCCCAATACAAGCGTTAACAAACACAGTAGATGTTATGGTCGCATCCGAACAAGAACTATTCACGAAACTTCTCCAGCTACTGTCATAAATGCAGGTCCAGTCAATACTGTCCAAGATTCACTTAAATCTGGAGATAAGCAATGTCGGGATCTGAATAAATGCACTTCGTTAGAAGTTAATGGTAACGAGGTTGAAATTCAAGAAATTTTCGAACGAAAGATCTTTGATTTAGAGGAAAATGAGATCATGAATGACAATGATGACGATGGGTTTTCAGACGATGTTGAAGATGAAGTTGATGATATTTTGGTTGAAAATGAAGAATCTGCAGTTCATGCTTGGCTCATTTTAGTTCAGTTAACTGCCACTGCTCTCAGTAAATGTAAACCGTGGCCTGGAAAGGTAAATATTTACTTTGCGTCAGATATTTTTAGATGGATTGACTAAAGTTTTTTTTGATAAATGCTCATCGTTATTCATCTACTTTAAATTTATGTAATTTTACCTCTAATAGAAAGATCCAAGGGTGTTTTCTACACATTAATTATTGACAGTTCTAATAAATGTAGCAATTAATGTTTTTACCTCATTACTTCAACTCGATGAAATACCCCATCACAAATCAGATATCATTTGTTGGATTACTACTCGTTCATCTTCCTAATAATACAAAATGGAGGAACAAACTTGGTTAATCCGTTCAAAAAATCTAACCAGTGTAGAATATGATGGATAGTATTTTTCAATGATGTTTTTTGTTATTCTAGTCTGCAAGTCATCTTCTGTTTCAAACTAGATCCTTATTTAAATGTACTTACAACTAACTTGATTATTTCGCATTGCATATTTCTGTTTTCAGTGTAAAGTAAGCGCTCTATCTGGCGAAGTAGTTATCGGTAGTGAAGATGTTTATAATAATTCGAAATCATCATCCATTCTAAAGTAATTTCATTTTACTTCTATATGTACAGTTAAAAATACGATAACCACTATGGGAAAAGTAAGGGGTCTGCATTTTAAACAATGTTGAAACCACTTTATGCCTTTGAATAAAGATTGCTGGGTACTGTTAAGGATTTAATTCTTTATTGATTAATCATAGTTCCAGTAAAGATTTTACAATATATTTTGACTAATAATAATTAAATGCAATTCAGTGAAGAAAATTTTTTTGTGAATATTACTTAACGAAGTTGTGTAAATAATTGAGATTTTCTGAAAATATAGGGATCACATGTTAAAATACTCGATTTCAAGTAACACAAGATAGTAGAACGGTCTACATGTTCTTGAAAATAGTAAGTTCAGAATAATTTACAGATCAAAACTATGATAGTTGTCCGACTGACAGATATCACATGTTTTTCATTTCTTCATTATATCCGTCATTCGGATAACTACCATATTTTTCATCTGTAAATTATTCCCAACTTACTGTTTTTCACCAGCTCTGGCGAGGCGGATTCGAACCACCACCTGGAGCCACTCTTGGGTTTCTGCCGGTTCCAAGCTCAGGTAAAGAAGGAGGGTTGGGCATGGGGTTAACGACACTCATCCCGTAGAAAACTAATTCCCTAAGAAAACTTTAATCAGAAAAAATAATTTAAACCATTTAAAATCTGTCCTGGGAGTTATAAGGTCTTCATTTAGAAGAGTTGTGACGCCTCATGGTGTAGGCCGAGTTCCTTCGGAAGTCACGAGGCTGATGTTCTTCTAACAACCAGAGCAACCATTAATTTAGGTGCATTTAATGCTCTTACAATGTGGGAAACCGGGAGAGTCTTCCAAATTGCTGCAGAAATGAAGAGATACAACCTGAAGGTGCTTAGAATCAGTGAAATACATTGGACGCAGGTTGGACAACAACGGCGAACTTCAGGGGAGCTTTTGTCATGCTCCGGCCATGAAGAAGAAAATGCCCCACATACAAAAGGGGTTGCATCGATGCTATCCAAACAAACACAAAATGCATTTATAGGACGAGAATGTCATGGAGCAAGGATCATCAAAGCCTCCTACAGAACAAGGAAAGAGAGCATTTCAATGAACGTCATCCAATGCTACGCGCCTACCAACGAATACATTGAAGACGCTCAAGATCAACTCTACGATAGGCTGCAGTCAGTCGTCGAGAAGTGCCCAACAAAGGACCTGACCATTCTGATGGGCGACTTAAATGCCAAGCTTGGAATGGACAACACCGGATATGAAGACATCATGGGACGACACGGACTGGGTGAAAGGAACGAAAATGGTGAGAGATTTGCAAACCTATGTGCCTTCAATAAATTGGTCATAGGCGACACCATATTCCCACATAAACGCATACACAAGGCACATTGACTTCACCGGATCACACTACACAGAACCAAATCGACCATATCTGGATCAACAAAAAGTTCGGAAGATGGAGGTGTGAGAACCAAGAGAGGAGCTGATATAGCATCAGATCATTACTTGCTGGTTGCCAAGATGAAATTGAAACTCAAGAAGCACTGGACAACGGGGCGGACAACATCACAAAAGTTTAGTACAGCTTTTCGTCGTGATACTTACAAACTCAACAAATTCAAGATAGCCGTCAGCATTAGGTTCCAGGCCTTTCACGATTTACTCAATGGAGAAGGAACTACTGTGGAGAGCAACTGGAAAGGGATAGAGAAGGCAATCACTTTAACATATCATGAGGTTCTGGGTCTCAATAAGCACCACCACAAACAATAGATCGCTGTTGATGCACTGGATAAGATCCAAGAAAAAAGGAACAAGGAAGCATTAATCAATATTAGCCTAACAAGAGCAGGGGAAGACAAGGTACTAGCTAAATTTAAAGAAACAAACAAACAAGTGAAGAGGAGCATCAGTACGGCAAACGTAAATATATGTGAGATCTAGCAATGACGGTGGAAAAGGCTGCAAGAATAGGAATCATGAGACAATTGTATGATATAACAAAAAGGCTCGTTGAAAATTATCGTAAACCAGAACGACCAACATTGAGGAGCAACAAAACAGGTGGGTAGAACACTGAACCCACCCAACATCGAAGCAGCACACACGGACCTCCCAACCAATGTTGGCCCACCAACAATTGAAGAAATCAGCATGGCCATCAGACGAATCAAGAGTGGCAAAGCAGCAGGACCAGACAACATTCCAGCAGAGGCACTGAAAGCAGATGTGGCGGTAACTGCAAGGATACTCTACATTCTCTTCAATAAGATTTGGGATGAGGAACAAGTACCAAAAGACTGGAAAGAAGGACTTCTGTTCAAAATACCAAAGAAAGGCGATTTCAGCAAGTGTGATAACTACAGGGGCATCACTCTTATCTAAATATCAGGAAATGTCTTCAAAACGGTTTTTTTAAACAGAATGAAGGATTCCGTATGGAACAATCAATTGAATGGAATTCATCACTCTACATCAACTTCATTGACTACGAGAAAGCATTTGATAGCATGGACACGACAACACTATGGAAGCTTCTTCGGCACTACAGTGTGCCTGAGATGATATTCAATATCATACGGAATTCCTATCATGGATTAAACTGCGAAATCGTGCATGGGGGACAGCTGACAGACTCGTTTGAAGTAACGACTAGTGTCAGGTAAGTTTGCTTGTTCTTACCCTTTCTCTTTCTCCTGGTGATCGACTGGATCATGAAGACGTCAGCATCTGAAAGGAACCTCAGTAGCAGTAGGTCAACATACACAAGGGGAAAAGCAAGATTCTCCGATACAACACAGCATGCACCAATCGAATCACACTTGACGGAGAAGCTTTGGAAGATGTAAAAACGCTTACATATCTGAGCAGTATCATTGATGAACACAGTGGATCTGATGTGGATGTGAAGACGCGGATCGGCAAAGCAAGAGCAGCATATCTACAACTGAATTACATCTGAACCCCAAATACAAATGTCGAGATAATTCGGCTGTATGGGTCGCAAGCGTGGAGAATTACGAAAGTCATCATCCAGGAGATACAAGTTGGAGAATGCTGGTCGGCGGCCTATGCTCCACTGGGAGTAACAGGCGTAAGTAAATAATTAAGTACTATTTTTCAAGAACGTTTAGACCGTTCTACTATCTGGTGTTTTTTAAAATCTCCAAATATTATATGAGGTAATGCTTCCCTATTTTTGTATATACTAATATATTTATTGGACCATTGTGTAATTGTACAGCTTCAGTTAATGACATCTCCGTAAAGAAAATTTGTTTACTTAACTGCCTTTAGCAACTAAAGTTTAACTGTGCTTGTACCTGTTTAATGCTATGTTGGCTTCATAATTTTGATTTTTTTTTGTACAAATGTGGAAATGCTTATTTGTTGAATATTTCTTTCGAATTTCGGTGGAATTCATTTTTGAACAAAACGTGTATCTAATTTCTGTAGGTTTACCTGCTCCGAGCAGCAAGATTATTAGGCGAATTTGCTCTAGAGCAACAGAACATTATCGAAGAACCAGCGAATCAAGACGTTATTCATCAAGTAAGCTAAATGATCTTTACTGTTTGATTATTACAAACCTCACAGGAATTTATTTCAGAATTTAAAATCAGTAGACGAATTAGTTATTTTCTTTTATTTCAAGACTTATTTTATTCCTTAATCAAAATATTGCTCAAATACATTTCATGATGCTCAAGAAGATTGAGAAAATGCTACTAAACCGTTATTACAATAGTTATCAACCTCAGTATAGTTTGTTTTAGGTTGTGTACATTAGTGTATGTCAGTCAGTCAGTCAGCTACAACGTAGGACCAGGCACATATATGCATCGGTCCAAGTTGCCATACCTCATTAGCACAACAAGATCAACAACAAATTCATAGAAGTAGTTACTTCAATGATATCAATATATAAAAGAAAGATTGTTTATGAGGATATATTACAGCAAGAAAAATATGAAGCAATTTTAATCTCAAAGTTTAAGGGAAGACAAAGAGTGTATACACCTATACCACTGTGATCAATTCTGAGTCATGTCACCAAGAGTCTCCAACCATTGGTTACGATAGTCACGCGGACTCCAACCAAGTAATCTGCATCTACCAACATGGCTCAGACTAGAAGTCCGTGACTTCAAGCACTGATGCCACGTTTTGGTTTGGTCGCCCTTAACTTTCTTCCAACCATCCCGAACACCGGTTAGCATTGGATGTCGTGGTAATCGGTGTTCGGGCATACGTAACACGTGGCCCAACTATCTCAGTCGATGAAGATTCACAACCTCATCAACTGATTTACCATCATTCCCTAATAACCTGCGTCTAACCTCATTATTACTTACCTGATGATGAAGTGTAGCAAGCTGCTTACTAGTAGTCTGGCAATATATACTCTGGTTGTATGTACAATTTCTTATATGATTCTAAAGCATATCTTCGTTATGCAGTTCAGTGTCGACTGTATTTTATCGGTTAAGTGCTCTAATCGACTGAACATTTTGTTGAACTATTATCACCTAGATGATCAAAGTTTAGCAGCCGAAAATCATGTTTGTTAAATGTTTTTTCTGGTATCAAAATCTGCGTTCTTTAGCAGTAGAAAATGTTCATTTTAACTTAAGATGGTTTTTAACATATTTGTGTAATTTAATTGATCCATAAAACTTGTGAAATCGAAAGGAGCAAGATTATTATAATCAAAGCACTATAGTTGTAATTAGTTCCAAGTGTATGTAGAATATATACTAAACGGTGCAAACAAAATGACCTGAGTGTTGATAAACCATAAAAGAAATATGTTGATTGAATTTTAAAAACAGCAAAAACTGTTGCAATCCCTTGCTCGCAACAGACAGTTAGTTCTTCATAATGAAATACGCATCGTTTCTTAGAACAAGCAGTCTTGAGATGGTGGAGAAGATTTGTAGCTCAGGTGAATGATTTTTGGTGGAGTTTTTTTCTCTGAGCTGGATGGTTTGGTCGTGGAGTTTTCATCGTTCTTCTGAACGACATCATCAGCACAAACTTCAGATAGAAGTGAAGTATTCGAATTTCTCCATATGTGTTTCACAGCTTGTTCTGTCCACCTCAATGTTGATCGGTTCTTATTGACCTTAAACTTATCTTTGTTCACTTCTTTGTTTTGGTTGTGTCCCCCATTGGTTTGATTTTTGTTCCTATATTTATGAATGATTTTCCTGATTGGTTGATAAATTGGGTTGATTTCAATATGTTTGCTGATTGACCTGAGTGCCAGGCTTCTGAATATTCTCTGGTGTTTTTGGAGTTTCCTCTGTCTACATTTTTCCAATCGAATGAGTGTCCATAGTTACCCACGTGTATTTATATGAGTGAAGAGATATCATAGCCTTTGACTGCTGATCGATGTTCATGTAGGCGAAGGTGGAGGGGGCGTCCGCTTTGTCCGATAGTGTTTGTTGCAGTTGGTACAGTTTATTTTGTAGATGATGTTTGATTTGTTTTCCTTTGTCATTTCATCCTTTGGTTTGCATAGGATTGATTGTAGTGATTTTGTCGGTTTGTGTGCCACACCTATCCCGAAGGTTTTCAGCAGTCTCGTTGTGGTTTCTGATATTCCTTGTATGTACGGTAGGGTGATCCTTTTGTTGATTTTTGTGCTTGACTCGGGTTCTAATGCTGCGTGCGGTTGGTGTTTTTTGATGAAGTTGATTGGGTAGCCATTCTTTTGAAATATGTCCTTCAGGTATTTTTTATTTTTTTCGTGCTGCCAGTATGTCCTCGCCCTCTTGAACAATGTGTGTACGCAGTTGATTTTGTGAGCTCTTGGGTTGTTGCTGTTGTAGTTGAGAATTTGATCTGTATGGGTCGGTTTCCTATATACTTGAGTTTTCAGTCTATACAACTCGTCTTGAACCCTTCTTTTTACTATCCTCGATCTATTTTCTTAAGTATGCCATTTTTTGAATTTTAGATGTGGTGCGCTCTTTTGCGCGAAACTCAATCAAGACGAGCTGAAGGTATCAAAAGTGGTTACCAGGCTGAAGCTTTCTTGACACTTGCATCGTTCGCTGAAGCATGTGGTATTGATGCGATCGCCGATAATCATCCCTACTCAACTGTTGATGGCAATCCCGAAGAAAATTCTTCAACAGAATCGCATAGTGAATTTATCGATCGTCTCACCAAGTTATTTGTGCTGATTATTCCACAGTGGTTAAAACGTGGGAAAAATGCTACACAAAATAAAAATTTAGAAGTTGGTTACGGATTTTAAACCTATTCAGTCTCAACATAATCTTTTCTGAATAGCTTTCAGCTTTATATTTAACCATTTTACACTGATTAGTTTGCGACACATGTATTTATCGCTGTTGAGGTGTATTCCTCTAAAGTTTCAACGTCCTTGTGAGATTACTTAACGAGTGCTGTTTATCCGGTTTTATTGTCTTCGTAATTGCTACATATACTTAAAGGCCTATGACCTCGGTACTTTGTACTATCTCATCAATCGAAAAATAGACATATTGTAGATCAATTTTGCCAGTTTTTTTGTTAGAAGTCTCACATGGATAGATGTCCCGATACCTGTATTTAGTGTACATCTATTTCGTCTTTATTTACTCTAATAATCAAACATTGTTGGGCATCTTCATTATTGAAATTAACAGAATAACTTTCCTTTTTTTTAAAGAATTTGAAACTTAACACCAAACTCAATGAGTTCGAACTCGAACAGGCTGTCAGAGCTGTCGGGATTATATGGCCGCTCAACGCTACGAAAGAACATTGTAAGTCACGCAGTATGTATATAGTGGAAACAAAACGTTCTGTTTTGTCAGATACCCACTTTGCTAATGAATTAATGAGCGGGAACTCACGCTTAATAACGAGTATGAAATGATTTATCCAAACTGAGAAACTTCCCCTCTTTTCTTACCTTTGTATGATCAAAGTAACAACACATTCTTATCACGTGTAATTTGGGATTTTTTGTCAATTTGTTGAATACTAAACGACGTCAAAAGAGGAATAATTTGCTGGGTATATTTGTGAAATTTCGAAATTCAGCTTCTCACTGTGTATTACCACAAAGAGATCAATATACGTCATGTAACAAGGGGTTGTTGATCTTATTTTTAGATGTGATTCTACCCAGTCATATTTTGTAATTTCTGAGAAATTTTAAATTTATTTTATAGTATATATATAATATTGAATAAAGCCATTAATAATAACAATAATAATAATAAGCTTGAGCACTTTAACATTAAAATCTTATATTCTTACGTCTTAACGAATCCTTCTGATGGTCTTTCTGTTGGGACGGCTCTCGAGAAGTACGGCGGAGCCGAGGAGTTTCATTCAATCAGAACGCAATGGGGGTTTCTAGAATATCAACATGGCGTGCTGCCTCTGCGGATATTGGTTGAATATCTATGACTTTCTGTACATTTTGATTCTTGCCCAACAAACACTTTCTCCAGTCTCCTTATTTGCGAGTTGGAGGGTTCAAGCGTTCGAGTGCTCAAGTTGTTTGCGGTAGATATAACAACTGGCGACGGGGATGGGGTTCGAACCCTCGCGGTAAAATCCAAATGGATTAGCAGACCATAACACTTTCATTCTGGGGGCGATCCAATATGTGATACTATTCATACACTTTTTAAGTTTGCTAGTTTTTTCTCACATCAGCTATAACTTTCATTAAATCATGAAGTGTTTCTACAGGATAAGTCATTCCAATTTTCCTTGTTATTTCAAATAACAATTTATTCAATTTCTCCTTTTTAATTGTATATCATTTCAGTGCATCGTTTCGCTGAGACAATAATCTTATTGAACCATGTTATGACCCAAACTGGGAAACATGTTCAAATCTCTTGCTTGGCAAGTGCATTAACAATACTTGCGAAGTAAGCATTTTTATTGTTTACCAAACTATTACAATCTATTTTTCAAAATGCAAATAAACAATTATCCTTTTTATGAATTTTATAATTTAATGATAGGCTGAGTCCAGAACAAAGTGCGCATATAGTCGATTGTGCCGGCAAATCAGCTTCAAGGTGTTTCTCAGAGTTAGGATTAAAAGAGTTAATTGGCAAACTAAAAAAATCAGCCGAAAACCAAAAATCCCAGTTACTCAGAGAACATGCTCTGAGGACAGTCGCAGGAATTCTACGACATCCAAGTAAGCAATCTTTTTGACGGTTATTCTGAGTTTCAAGACTTTTGATTTAACATTATTATAGTAAATGGTCTATTAGGTTTCCATTGTCTTTTTAGGACAAATAAAACATTTTAAGGTTATGGTTGGTAATTTTCTGGAAGTAATATTAATAAGTAACTAATTCATTCATTGGGTATTTAAGTATTAGTCACAAATCCAAGGGCCAATGCTTCTGCTCGAAATAGATAAAGCGTGGTTCAAATGTGGAACCTAAAGACTGCAAGTCCCACATCCTTAAAAAAAAAATCCACTAGTTTACATTGTTATCACTTGGCATAGAAAGCTTGTGTCTGGGGGTCATACCACAACGTTGACGTATTCATGAAATAATGTGCTTTAATAACATGTGCATTATGTTGCAACCATGTTTGGTTTGGCATAAAATTTGTAATGCATATATGTGTAATGAATTTGAGTGGAAAAATTGTTATGAGGGTATTTTTCACATGAATACTAATACTTTTTGTCATTAAACACACCATAACTAGGTAGATCAAATTTCTTACCCGTATTTTAAAGTTCGACATATATTTATTCATCTTTCCAAAACAAATAACTGGCTTAACAATAGTTTTTTAAGTGCATATTTCACCGTTTTTTGGTTTTAAGGTTTCATGAACCTTTGCAAGGATTCACTTCGTCAGCTCTTACAATCATTTTCGAATGATGGCGTTCAAGCTTTGCGTGATTGGGCTTCTCAACTCATGAACTCACTTTGATGGACATTACGGATGTATTTACTCTGTACGTGGTAATATTTTGAATCAACGACACATCTTCTGTATGAGTCAGTTTAAAAATTAATCATTTAATATACTTATTGAAGCTTCATCTACTATTCTAATGGCTAATTTAATACAATTCCATAAAAGACGCTTCGTTTAACCTCTGATTCTTGTCAAACAAAAACAGTCGTTATAAACTGAACATTTTATTTTTCGAATAACGGTTAGAAATTTTATACGGTGTTTCGTCCTATATTCAAACGACAAAACCTCCAACCGACCACTCAGCTGCCTATTAAAAAAAAAACTTTTATTAAATATACACTACAAATGTACTTTAACATGTATGAACAAAGCAATAGGCTTACAATGCGTATGTATGTACACCCAACAAAAATTGTATACTTTTGAGCTAAATACATAATTACTCCAGTAGAATTTCACAAGTCCGTTCCTTCAAATGCGTATTATAATTAGAAGATTAGAGTACTGTAGTATGGGCAAGTAAGCATATAATTGCCACACTAGCACTTGTTCAAGTACTTAGTCACCTTAACTTCCTAGGTGATTTCGGCGATCAACCCTAGGTACGACCTCTTGCTGGTCAAACGCTTTAATATGTGACGTCATAGAAAACCTTAGATGAGTATTGTGGAGACTTGGATAACAATCCGTTTACATTATGTTTTCTTCATGTTACATCAATCCTCACAGCAAATATTGTCCTACACAAAAAAACCAAAAGCAGCTCGAGGAACATAACCGCGAGAAATTTCTTTACTTCCATACCATTTCTACAGTCAAATTTCCAATACTAATTTCAACAAGCTGGAAATATCCACAACTTTAATGGCCGGATCGATTTGAATACAGAAAGGCTGGGTCAGGAAGAATATCACGTTTATTAGCCGGGAATCCACATCCCTTTTAGGATAATGTAAACACCAAGCATATATAATCATATTGGTTTCAGTGACTAACTAACACGTAATCTGCCCCGTGAATAATGTATAGACGCATCGTACTTCAGTGACTAATCGTAATTCAATGCAACTTAGCTGACTAATACAGATTTGTGTACTGGGTCCTCAACAAAACTATTTTAATAAGAGCTAGTGAACCTACTAAACCATCCAAATGAAATTTTTGGGGTAGATTCGTCTTTACACGATTACAGAAGTGTGAGCCTTGTAGTGTCACCTGAAGTAACGGAAAAACGAAGACTAAGGGTCAATTTCTTCGGGTTTACTTATTGATTGAGAGTTCATGATAATTCAAACAAGCCGGTTAGAAGAAAGTTAAACGATAGCTGATATTTTGGTAGCCGGAACTGATAGTAGTGATTAACTAACACATAGCTAATGTAGATTAGAAAGTAATCAAAGTAATAAATGACCAGATCGCGAGTCAAAGTAATAGGTGTCGTCTTATGAGATCTATTCAGGAGTATGCCAATCACATAAAGCAACATACATGAGAGTTGATACACAATACGTACGTAACGCCTGTAACGGAACTTTTTGAATATAACGCTTACACCGACATCCGATATTTAATATATCATTGGGATGAAATTAAAGAAACCTCTCAAATGATGTGGTCCTAGTTGAAAACACTCCAGTCATGCTTTATGCGGAAATTCAGAAATTCTCATCTCTTTGATCATGAATAATCCCATTAACTTTCAAAATATCTCTACCTTTCATTAAAAAAGGACGAGCTGCTTTTTTCATTCTCTTTTTTACTTTCGCCTTGCTAATAATGTCTATTTCTACTACAGCAAAATTTAAATGTTGAATCTCAAAGTCTTGGTATAATGGCAAAAAATCCTGTAGAAAGTTTGTTGTGAGTAGGCTGTGAATACCTTTTTCCACCGACCCTATATTGCTTCCTTGCTACTTAGACAATTCTTTTAAAGTGTTGAAACCAAAAATAGATTTCGTGTTGTAAATTTGTGTTCATTGCTTCTGTTTACCCCATTTTATGCCTTTTGGGGATGAGAACCACTTGATATACAAATTTTATTACCACGCTAAATTCGACTCATTTGGTTATACAAATGAGTTTCGTATTTGCGTAAACTGTGTGTATCGCACACCGCGTTTGTCCATTTTTGTACTCAATGACAGTGTTTGTGACACGTTACAGAAGCCATGTTATATTTTTGGGCAAACACGGAGACTTTTACGATTTTGTGTAAGTTTAGTCTGGATGTCTACTTTCTAGTGAATGTATCCACAGGGATAGTATCAACATCTTGATTTTAAATTTCATTTGAAACGGCGGCATTGTCGTTGACAAATACAAAAACGTCTAATTCTGTTGTCGAACACTCTAACGGAGCTGCCATCAAAATAGCGAATCTTTTCATTGTGCTTAATGATTATTTAAATACTCCGACTCCAGTCTGACTAAAGTTATGAATATTTAGTATATTCGTAACTTGCCTACTATGACCGTCTATATTTGATGGACTCCAAGGCATAACTAAAGTTCTATAAAATAATTACCAGTCAGACGTCCTTCCGCTTCAGACTTAAACTTAATACATCACGTAGTCAGTCACCAACATGGTCTCGTGTGCTGTTACGGGTATGAGGGCTGATGTCACTTCCCGGCTGCCCACACCGTGGAAGGGTATTTCTTGAGGAACCTGAAAAGGAAATTGGGTTAGTGTTGGTCTTGACGACCTGGGAGCGTGACCGCAGAGCCCAAGGGACAACTGCTTGAGGCCGGTCGCGCACGGCCTTATTGTGGAAGGCTTTTAATGTCTTAGCTCCGTTCTTTAAAGGGCCTTACCGCCGGAGATGGAAATCCGTGAGGTAAGGTGAGGTGTGACATTTTTTAGGGTCGACCTTTTCTAACCCCACCCCTCCCTGTGGGAAGGCAGCATCGCTGTCATGCTGGTTGTCCGAGGGAAACACCTTACTGCTGTCACATCTCTCTACAGTCAGCAGTACGACTTCGCCCTCAGACCTTGAGTTGCTGCTTTTAGTCTTACCGTTCACCAATCGACCTGCCTGGCATGGTAGAACCTACAGGAACATATGTTCCAGCCAATATAGCTCGGTTGGGTCATCACGATAGGCAAGCCCGACCACCGCGTCAAGGTAGCAGCTTCGGTCAGTCACCTCGGTCCTTCGCTACACGGTATCCATTAGATTGTTATGATAACAATAGCTAATATTACAGACGTTGATATCGAATACCAGTCATTTTATGGACGCGATCAGGTTGCTGCAAATTTGGGTCTACATAAATGAATTGAATATATTTTTAACAATCTCTGAATAAAGTACGTACTCACAGTAGATACTATTTACTTACTTGACGTGGTTCTATAAATGAAAGCCAATCAGATGCGTAAGTCGGTAGTAAACCCATAGTGTGGCACTTGTACATGGCTAGTGCTAGTATAACTAGGTTGCCAAGTACATACACAAAGCATTGTATTGTAGCTTGACTTCCCTCGATAAGGTTAAATGCTGTACAGAAAAAATCAAGAAAATCTCGAATTACTCAAGTTTACAACTGTTGATAAACCTTAGTAAGGGATAAACATACATCCAGTAGACCTAAATTAATTGACTGCCTTTCTGGATCAAAGTTATCACTACGAAACTACTTCCAAATTTACCCCAAGGGATAGGAATCTGTCTAGCATTATGAAAAATTAGGGTGTTATGGTTTTCGTAAACTTTAAATCAAAACCTGATCTTAATTAGGTGAAACAGATGTCTTCGGAAATTATATTATTAAAATTTAACCTTAAAGTTAATGAGTAAACATTAATGAATGACTGATCTATCACGAGTATAATTGCATATTTCACAGTACTGAAAACCTGCTGATATACTTTATCTCCATCCAATTAGTCGAAGTGTTGCATTTAGAGACTATATATTTAAATCCCTGAACAGACATACCAGATTTAGGTTGTTAATAGGGTCGTTTTGAGACCATCAAAACCCTAGTGCGAGCGTTTGTAAATAAAGGGTATTTGATATCACCGATTGTAGGTAAAACTCTGAATTGCTTAATGGCATTTTAACCGGTTTCCTCACATAACGAAGATGTAAGTGACCCACATCTCAGTGTCTGATTATCAACACATACAAGCTACTTACAGGCCTTCACACTCACAATGAATCCGCCTTCTTTTCAATATTGCAAGTGGTCAAATGTAAATGCTTAAGGGGAAATCGCCCACAAAGGAATGGAACCTATACGAGACGAAGTCGGGATGAAACGAAAGCATGCAATAGCCAGTCACTCTAAAATGTCATTGACATTTTGCTCTTACTGTTTCACGATACACACAATACGAATAGGATATTATAAAGCTCACTTCTTGAAAATATCCACTAGGGAAGTTCATAGACTATTTTATATGAGCGCTTATATTTTTTGCGTAGAGTAATATATATTGCGGAGCCTTAGTTTTTGTACTGGACAGTATCAACATTGACTTCATTTTGAATCCATCAAGTAGCAGCTGGTGATGTACAGAACAAAAATGCAAGCTCCGTAATAAAACCATTTTGGGTTGGGTAACTCAATAATATCCACCTCGGCAAAAATTTCAATTATTTCAGCTTTATTTGTGCACTTAGAACTTAGTTATATACATATTTACGTACCATTTACAAATTTTAGTCAAATTGCAAACAGAGAAACATGGATGAAGAGTACTTTTTCCAACAGATCATCAGCCTCTACAGTTATAGATTAAAATCAATGTTTTGAAGAAATGATTAAAGTTAAGGTAAATACATCGTTGTAGCACATTAATTTGAGATTGTTAGTAAAACAAAATAACTTTTTTTAAAAAGAAATGACTAGCGTGTGATGTCAACTTGAATCAGTTCATAGGTCAAGTGAAATTATGAGGTCAACAATCAGAATGAATTTAGATAACATTGGGTGATGTAAACAGTGGTATAATTACAAATGTTTCAGTATAGGGGTTGTGAAGATTGTTAAGTTTTGATTGAGATTATGAACCATTAACACCATTGGATGCCGGCTCAGTGGTCCAGTAGGTTAAGCGTTCGCGCGCGAGACTGAAGGCCCTGGGTTCGAATCGCGCGGGCGGGATCGTGAATACACACTGCTGAGGAGTCCCGCAATAGGACAAAACGGCCGTCCAGTGCTTCCAGGTTTTCAATGGTGGTCTAACACTAAACGGTTCATGATCTCATACAAATGTTTCGTTGGAAATTGCGTAATGTACAGAGTTAGATGAGTTGCATAAGAAATAGTACAGTGTTGATCAAATTGTGTTTAAAAGACTATCATATATACCAAGCAATAAAGGTGAATCTGTAATTACGTCGATTACTGACTTGTTGGGTCTGCTTTGGACAAGGTGTAGGAAAAGGTTGGACATTTTTCGGACGCGAAGTTTCAGTTTTTTAACCCAAGTAGCTGTTGCTTCCATCGTTTAGAGGACTGATTCTGATAAATCTAGATGGATTGCCATCGACATGGTAAGTTACTGTAAGCTATTGAGTGGTGCAAGCTGCGTAACACTTTTGAACTAAATGTCACAGGATAGGTATACTGACTGCTTTAAGTACCCCCTTGATAAATCATGCTGGGAGGTTAATTAGTAAGAAAAAATATATTTGTTATGTCCGAATCAGTAGAAAAATCAAGTCTAAATTTTCTGACGTTTCGTGACTTAGTGCAAGCCACTTCTTCAGAGAACAAATAAACACGTTAACCCGTTCAAAATGTACAAAGCAAGAATATTTGGTGCGATAAATCAAAAATATGTCTGAACAATTCAATGAAATATTATTCCAGTCAAGGTGATTTATGTGAACCATGTTTGTACATCTACATATCTGAACCGAATTCGTGGTTTCATGTCACTAGCCAAAATACTTGATTCTATATGTAACATAAACAAGTTGGCTACAATTAGCAACAAAGGGATCCCATTGCTACTCCATTTACCACATATTCACCACTCGTCAACTTCTAGAACACAGGCGTCCGACAATGATGACCTTACTTGTCTGAGACGCAGCATTTGACTTTGTAGACCGAGAGGTTCTGTGGCAGTGTCTGTCATTGAAAGTGTACCGCAGGAGTACATAAACCTAATGGGGGCTCTTCACTCAAACACCACCAGTCTAGTCAGAGATTATGGCGAACTGTCATCTGATTTTGCACCTCCAAGTGGTAACTGGCAAGGCTGTCCATTATCTCGATTTTTGTTCAATCCCACCATAAACTTCCTGCCAGAAATAACTTTCTCGTCGACTGAATTTTTGGGAATTAGTCTCCCAATACGAGGTCCACCCATCGACTTAGAATACGCAGATGATAGTCTTGTTTGATGAAGACGCTGATAAAATGCCATATTTTGGTAGCACTGAACAGCAATGCTAGGATATCTGGGATGCGTTCCTCTCCCTCTAAATGCAAGTTGTTGCTTCAGGACTGGTCTGCGTCAACACCTGAACTAAGTATAGGGAGTGAAGTAGTCGAACACGTTGGCAACTTCACTTATCTTGGAGGTCTGATCAGCCCTAATGGGCTGGTATCGGACGAAATCTCAGCACATATTCAAAAAGCTCATTTGGCTTTTGCCAACTTACATCACCTACGGCTTAGGCGATATATCCGTCTATCAATTAAGGCACGAGTATGCTGCTCAGCAGTTCGTTCTGTTTTACTTTATGGCTGTGAAACGTGGTCATCAAGAGTAGAAGATACTTGTAGGTTACTAGTGTTCGATCACATATGCCTTAGAAATATTGTCAGCATCTGCTGGGATCACCGGGTAAGTAATAGTGGGGTTAGACGCACGGTATCAGGGAATGACGGTGAATCAGTTGATTTTTTTCAAAACATTGATTTTAATGTATAACTGTAGAGGCTGATGAGAAATTGTTGAGGATATTTTTCTTTCATATATTTACATCCATAGATAAAAGCGTTCTGTTGGTGGAGCAGTTTATTGGTCGAACCTCTCAAATTTCAGCCAGTAGGTTACAAGTTCGGATACTGTTTCATTACAGGTTAACGACCAGGTAGTATCACGCCCATTTAAATAGTTTTCTTTTTTTGGTGATGCACAAACCTGTATTTGCCAAGTGAATTATGTCACAATGTACCACTCTGAATATGTCAACAGAATTAGGAAATTCCGTATAATAAAATAACCTGTAATGATAATCACTGGTTAAATAATAGAGTAGGACGGGTTTTGGACTTGTGACCAATTGGATGAAATCCGAGTTTGTTGACCACTTAGCTACAAGAATCTTATATGGCTTGAAAACGTTTTTTACGTACTCAGAATATGGTTAAAATATGCATTGAAATACAAGGGTTCCGCTTGCTATGGTCTAAGGTGGTATTTTTAGGGACTAGATATGATCATAGTTATTTTATTGATCGTATCTTCAAGTAATGGAAGATACGCATCGCTAAAGTTCGAAATTTTATAAAACAAACGGTATCACTCTTTGCTACTCATCAAATAAACTACTAAGATTGTATCAAAAATATGATGGAAACCTTACTAGCTTGTGCAGACAAAAGAGCTTGTAATGGGCGTAAAAATAACATAATTACAGACATCAGGGGAAATATCGATATTGAACTGCCTGAAATCCACATGATGAACAGATTCATTGGAACTTGCCGGAACGGTCCCAATGCAATGTTCCAACTTCGCTGACGCATCAGATGTGGGTCCGAGTCACGGACGGCAGTGGCTGGGAAAGAACGATCAACATATCCTGGGGGATGCTTCAGTTCGGGAGTATTGATTTGGTTTGGAGCAGTAATACGTGTTCTGAATATGAAATTATTTGTCAATATATATATACATATACATACTTCGAGCTGAAATCGAAAGCCCATTTTTTAGACAGAAAGCTGAAAACGCTGCTTTCATTAAACGAAATACACGGTGTCATTGTCAACACTTGTTTAAACAGGCGGATAGTTGATGATATTCTTTGCAGAAAATTTATTACGGTTGTAAACGACCTTCAGGCACAACTGAATTCTTTTTTATTACTTATGTATTGATGGAGTTCAGTAGTTTAGGTAAAAGACTTTTTATGGACTCCAAATTGATTCGTTTGAGCTTTACCCCGGAAAATGTAAAATCTGTAACAAATTATTAACAATTTGACCAGTTGATAGATTGCATATTCAAAGGATCATAGTAGTACGTAGAATATGTCGCCAATTAGTTTTTGTAGGCGTCAAGGTAATATCTGATGGCCTTTCAAAAGCACTAGCTTGAAACGACCTTGGATGTAATATATGTGATCAGTACTGTGCATAAAATTATTTTTATTGGCTTACTACTACATATATTAGTGAAGCTAAATGTTCATTAAAGTATGACATTGTCACCCAAAATTATTTTTCTGAGACTTGCCAGAAATGACCCTATTTCGCACAGCATTAACTTTATTTTTCCTATCGAGAATAATCACATTATTCGGGCCATAATTGGGGGAAGCGAGTTGTCCCACTACACCTAAACGGTCAGGATTCTTGGCTTTTACACAGGCTTATCAAACGGTGACTACATAGCACACCATACAGAACCAGTAAATGATTTGAAACTAATAAATAACCACCTTTTTCTTTTCACTACTTAAGTTAAGTACTATTATTAGTGTACCTCAGAAATTTTACTTGTGTGACTTTACGATTTTGAGGTTTTCAAACGTTCACCAGAAAGCTGAAAACATACACATAACTTCAATGGCCGGATCGATTTGAATACAGAAAGGCTGGGTCAGGAAGAATATCACGTTTATTAGCCGGGAATCCACATCCCTTTTAGGATAATGTAAACACCAAGCATATATAATCATATTGGTTTCAGTGACTAACTAACACGTAATCTGCCCCGTGAATAATGTATAGACGCATCGTACTTCAGTGACTAATCGTAATTCAATGCAACTTAGCTGACTAATACAGATTTGTGTACTGGGTCCTCAACAAAACTATTTTAATAAGAGCTAGTGAACCTACTAAACCATCCAAATGAAATTTTTGGGGTAGATTCGTCTTTACACGATTACAGAAGTGTGAGCCTTGTAGTGTCACCTGAAGTAACGGAAAAACGAAGACTAAGGGTCAATTTCTTCGGGTTTACTTATTGATTGAGAGTTCATGATAATTCAAACAAGCCGGTTAGAAGAAAGTTAAACGATAGCTGATATTTTGGTAGCCGGAACTGATAGTAGTGATTAACTAACACATAGCTAATGTAGATTAGAAAGTAATCAAAGTAATAAATGACCAGATCGCGAGTCAAAGTAATAGGTGTCGTCTTATGAGATCTATTCAGGAGTATGCCAATCACATAAAGCAACATACATGAGAGTTGATACACAATACGTACGTAACGCCTGTAACGGAACTTTTTGAATAAATGGTTCAAATGGTTCAAATGGTTGTGGATGGAATAGAAGAAGCTTTCGCTTAACAGGCTTCCGTGTCTAGTAGCAGGGGATCACCAAATCCTCCAGGCAGGAACCTAGGTATGTTAACAATAAAAAAGGAAAAGAAATTGGTAAATCATAATGTGATGCTGTCCTTGGTCCTTAAGAATAGGTCAAGTTGCCTCTTGAAGGACTCCTGAGAAGTCGCTTGGACTAGCTCGGCCGGCAGCGAATTCCAGCTTTTGACAACTCTTAAGGAGTAGAAGTTGTGTCTACATTCCGTCTTGCTATGTTGTGTTTCCAGTTTCTGGGTGTTACCCCTTAGGTTATTATTCGAACTAAGCTTAAGTAGGTGCTTAAGAAGATGTCCAGAAGTGGTAAGAATACTATAAGCCGTTAATAAATCACCTATAAGACGCCTATACTCTAATGGGTAAAGGTCTAGTGAATGGAGGCGTTCTTCGTAAGGTTTAGATTTGAGTCCTCGAACTGATTTCGTGACTCGCCGTTGGATACGCTCCAAAGTGACCTTGTCCTTTTGGAGTGAGGGGGGAGTACTATGTTTCCGTACTCTAAATGGGGACGGATGAAACTATTGAAGATTGTATGGAAAGTTCGTCCGTCAAACTGTCCAAAAATGCGCCTCAACGTTACCAGTGCAAGGTTTGCTCGGAAGGCATTTTTGTCACAGTTAGCGTAAGACTTTAAGTCATGGGGCATCAGGACTCCTAAATCCTTTTCGACTTGGGATACTACTAGAGAGGAGTTTCCTAAGTTGTAACTGTAGTTTGCGACATGTCGCAGATGGACTACTTTACACTTTGAAGTGTTAAAGGTAAGTCCGTTATCGTCTGCCCAACTTTGAAGTCGCGTCAGATCCTCCTGAAGTGCCTGTGTATCGACTTGGTTGCGTATCTCTCTCCAAAGTTTCACGTCGTCGGCAAAAAGTAGTAAGTCTGACGTTACCTGTTGAGGAAGATCATTTATGTAGATCAAGAAGAGAAGAGGCCCTAGTACTGAGCCCTGGGGAACCCCACTAGGACATTCCATAGCCTGAGATAAAGTGAAATTAACCCTAACCTTAAAGTGTCGATTTTTTAGGTATGAAGTAAGCCAATCGATTAGAGGTGGTTTGATACCTAGTCGTTTGAGCTTGTTGATAAGACACAAGTTGTTAACCTTATCAAAAGCTTTTGAGAAATCAAGGTAAATGACGTCAACCTTTCCCTTGCAATCGAGGATGCTTGTCCATTTGTCCACCGCAGTCAGCAGGTTGGTTATACAAGAGTAACCCTTCCTGAAACCATGCTGTTGGGGTGAGAAGAAATTTAAGGACAGTAGATAGTCATTTAAACCGTCGCATATCAGGGACTCCATGAGTTTTGAAGGTAATGACAGAAGAGCCACCGGCCGATAACTTGAAGGTTCATTGCGTCGACCACCTTTGAAAATTGGTGTGATGTGAGCCAACTTCCAGTTTTCCGGTAATTTGCCTCGGCTAAGCGAGTGTGAAAACATCACGCTAAGCGGCGTTGCCAGGATTGAGGCTGCCTCCCTCAGTATAGCAGGATGAACCATATCCGGGCCAGGAGAAGTGTCAAGTCTTAAGTGCTGCAATTTCCGGAACACCAAGTCAGCGCTTAGGTCCACTTTAGAAAGTCCTGTGGAATTGCAGATGAAACTGTCGTCAATAAAGTTGATGTCAGCCGGTTGAAATGTTTGAGAGTAATGGGCCGCCAGAAGGTTAGTGGCGTCGCCATCGTTGTTGGTCGGGCCGTTAAGACCTAGCAGTTGAGAAACTCCTGTTTTGGCTTGACGAAGAGAGGCTGCATAACGGAATAGGCTTCTAGGGTTAGAGGCGAATTTGTCCATAAGCTTTGTTTGGTACTGAAGCCTGTCTTCTCTTATAGCCTTCGTGCATGTGTTCCTGATATGTTTGTATTGCCTATACGCTCCATCGTTATTAGTTCGTTTGTATTCCGCCCAACAGTGCCGTTTGCGGCTTAGGAGGCGAAGGGTACGGTTCTTGATTACTGTAGGTGGCTTGAAGCTTTTGGGAACCGTTTGAGGAACTGAATGGTCTGTAGCACATAAGAGCGTGTGCAGTAAGAAGTCCCAATGACCATCCACATCGAGTTGAGGGTGAACATCCCAAACCACCTGTTGTAGATAGTCATGTAGAGCTGACACATTCAGCCGTTTAAAATTCCAACGCAAATTATTGTTGGGATACCTTAGCTTAGTTTTGATGACAAAACTGAAGGCTATGACGGCATGATCGCTTTTTCCCAGAGGAGCCAGGATTGAGAGGTTGTCGACTAGGAATTCTTCGTTAGTGAATACACAGTCTAAGCGCGATGGTGTCTGACTGTTTCTCCAACGAGTTGCCGACCTCACATTTTCATATAAGCCCAAGTCATCGATGAGGTTGAAGAACCGAGCTTCAATTGAGTTGTCGCCTCCAGTGTACGTGTGTTCCGCGAAGTTGACTCTAGGGAGATTAAAGTCCCCTAGAATCAGGATGTGTGTGAAACCGAGACGGATAGAGCGCGATAGTCCTTCCAGCATACGACTATCGTACTCGGTGTCGGCAGTTGGCTTCCTGTAAATGACTCCGACTAGACACCTGGAAGTACTAGACAATCTTACAGAGCACCATATGGATTCCTCAAGATTGTTAAACTCGAGGTTGTGAACCTGGTGCGCCTCCAAGCAAGAGCTTATGTATATGGCTACTCCGCCCCCAATTCCTGTTTTTCTGTCGTTGCGGAACAAAGTCATCCCAGGCAGTGCTAACTCTTGGTCCGAGAACTGAGAAGATATCCAGGTTTCAGATATTCCTATCAGATGGGCCTTATTAGCGTTGCTAAGTTCACGTAGTTCATCCAGTTTGTTTGGTAGACTCGCGGCGTTCATATATAAGCAGTTTATGCTTTCTATTTGGAACACGTGAGCTTCGTCCTGTTTTTCTGTATGAACCTTATGTGAATGGACAGGTAGCCCACCTATGTGAGGTTTGCCGAGGTGGTAGGCCCTGTCCTTTACACGTTTTTTTATCGTTTAGACAGTCCACAAGTGGAATGGTCAGCTCCAACTTGTCTTTGTTCTTGGTCCTAACTTCGTATGGCCTATCCGGGTGCATGTGGATTCCAGGTGGCAATCGACGTCTATTAGCACGAAATGCTTCCAGAACTGCAGCCGCCATGTGGGAAGATGGGAAGGTTATCTTCATTAGACGGGGTCTAAGATCACCGTCCTTCTTGGCTAGTCTCGTCACATGCTGAGTCAGTATGTGTTTGAGCCTCAAGGACTGTTTGATGAATTTCCATTCCCTGATGTCAGAATTTGATTGAGTAGGGTCTGCATTTTCCGGTATACCTTGGACAATTATGTTTCTTCCGCGGAAAAACTTCTCGCGAGATTCTTTAGGGACGTTTCGTATGATACTGCGCTCAGAGTACGGTATGTCGGGCAGTATTCTTACGTTACCATCTGATTTCAGCAAGTGGCTTGCTAGCAAGACGTCCTCTACGTCGGTAGCAGCCTTAAGTGTTACTCGGAGAAGCCTCGGGTGATTTAGATGCTTAGAATCCTTTCCTCGAGTGAGCCGGGTGACCGTCAAAGGCTCTATTCTAGGAAGTTCGAGCTTCTTGTTCAATTCACCCCAGAGCATCCTGTCGTTTTTGTCCTGCAGACTGAGAGGAAGATCAGGATTGTCAACGAGGTTCATGATAATGAGAGAATCGTCACGAACTGTTGTTAATTTACCAGGTTTCACGATGGGTTCAGGTTTAGTAACTTGTTGTTTGGAGGTCAGTGTGCGTTTATGAATCATGGGCTCTTTATTGACCGGACGAACAGTCTTGGGGGTAGACTGTGCGACTAAATTACCAGTTATTTTCCGTGCAGCAACACTTGGGTTGCTCGGCTTAGGCGGTGATGCCTGGTTCTTTTGGGCTCTCTTAACGTGGGTCAAATCACATGCAGGGTTTTTGGCAACCACTGTTGTGTTCGAGGACCCTGAGCTGGGAGACCCGAGTTTGCCTAGGGAGTTCAGTACCGTCGACGTAATGATGGTACTGAGCCTCGACACGTCGTCGTTAGTGTGGATGGATGCTCCATCGATGGAATACCTATCGACATCCCTGTTTTTGAGTCCGTTGCACGCTCTTGTTTGTATATCAGTTTTTTTACTATCGTTTTCCGAGTTAACTGACAACTTGTTCCGAAGACATGTCAGTAGGACAATGATGTTACTCAGCAAGACTACGGAGTCTGTGTTGCACGTGACACACACCCACTTTTGCTCTGACTTGCTGAGTCTATTGTAAGCAGTTGCTGTCAGATCTGTGCATGCTTCGTGGAACCAACCTTTGCAGTTGTCGCACTGCATGCCAGTTGTGACAGCAAAACGGCATCCCGGACGTTTGCATGAGTTTTTCATGACGGTGTTGAAGCAAATTATGTTATAGATGCTTGCAAGAGCCTAAGACCTTTTTAAAAAAACACTAAAAAGCACACTGAAAACGGACAAAAATGGACAAAACGAGTGATATAAACTGAAACTAGTCTATACGTGAAAAACAAAAAAAACCGAATAGTAAGCTGAGGCAAAACCACAGGTAACTATTAAATATAGTGAAACTCAAAAAAAAGTAATCTACCGAACGTATAGCTCAGGATAGATTCTTTAGAACTGAAATGGTACTTTTGTTGCGTAAGAACACAGCAAAAGTTTGATAAACGCAAATCACGTTAGGACTAAACTCCCCGTTCGAAAAACGCTTACACCGACATCCGATATTTAATATATCATTGGGATGAAATTAAAGAAACCTCTCAAATGATGTGGTCCTAGTTGAAAACACTCCAGTCATGCTTTATGCGGAAATTCAGAAATTCTCATCCCTTTGATCATGAATAATCCCATTAACTTTCAAAATATCTCTACCTTTCATTAAAAAAGGACGAGCTGCTTTTTTCATTCT